TAAGTAGGGACTTAAGAAAGGTCAAAATTTTTTTAAATTACACACACACAGAGGTATGTCCAGAAAGAGTCCAGCCTTTTGTAATATAATGAGAATGGTTTGTGCAACGTCCATGTAACCTGGCAGCCAAGGAGAGTGGACTGGTATGCACAGGCATGAACAAGGATGACTTCATTGTACTAGTTAGTGGGAGGGTAGATGCCGTTGAGTGAGCATCTGTTGTAGCTGTCATATTCAAAATGACTGAGGGAGTAGAGCAACAAATCTGCATCAAATTTTACATTAAGCTTGAACATTCCTCCCTGAAAACTATTAGGCTGATTCACAAGGCCGCAGCTATGGCAGCTTCATCATGACAACGTGCCCGCTCATGCATCATGTCTCATGCAGTTTTTTGGTGAAACATCAAATCACCCAGGTGACTCAGCCCCACTACAGCCCAGATTTGGTGCCCTGTGACTTCTGGCTTCTCCCAAAACTATAATTGCCCTTGAAAGGGAAGAGATTTCATACCCTTGATGAGATTCAGGAAAATACAATGGCGACTGAGAGAACTGTGTGAGGTCCCCAGGTGTCTACTTTGAAGGAGACTGAAGCGTCATTGCCCTATATACAATGTTTATTGTATCTTGCACTTTCTTCTATAAATGTCTCTATTTTTTGTATTATATAGCTCGATACCTTCTGGACAGACCTTATATATTGCTGTCTCACTTTTTTTTTTTTTTTGCTTATAATAAATATAATTCTTTAGAGTTATGTAAATGTATATTGCTAACTACTTGGCCCAGTATACTTTTATTTAATAAGCCAATCCTTAAGGTTAAGTCTTGTAGAATTCCTAATGCAATACTTAACAATTAAAAAAAATACTGTATATGAGCTGTGTAAGTGCTTACATTGCTACCTACTGCGAACTGGATAAAAACTTGATATTGTGGTAATGGCAGCTTACATTTACAAAACGTTTGTTATATAGCAGAAACTGAAAATGCTCGACTTAAAATCAAATTTTTATATCTCACCAATTAGCCTGTGGGGTAAACATTATCCTCATTTTATTGACAAAGTGCAATGAAATGAGGATTTTGTACTTTGTACTGTGATTATGAAGTCCACTAATATAACTGAATATTTGCAGCAATTACCTGAGCCTGTTTTTTTTATTTCTGTAAGACATTCAGTTTATCAAACTGACAAATAGCCCTTCCCTCATTTGAAAGGTCTAGTCACAATTTTTCAGGTAAGCAATTAACTGTTAATATTATTTCCTTATCAATGATGCTACCAAGAGAGAAAGCCGATTAGTAGCTACTGCAAATGATTTGCTAACCTTTTCTCATTAACAGCCTTAAATGGCATTGTAAGGAGCCCCCTGTGAAACAAATCTAACTGATAACAATTATTTTTAAGAAAACAGCCATTTAAAAGCTCTGAAAAATTGACCTAAGAGCATATGGCAGGTGAAGAATTAGTTATTTAAAAAAAAAAATCTGCTAAAACTCAAAGAGAACAGCCAGAGTCTGTACCAAATGTGGCATTTGAACCTACCCACTCCCTCCTTTTCCCCTCCCTGCTCTGTATGATAGTCCAGGCGGGTAAAGCCAAGAATACAGGGTTACCTCTCCCCCTCAGCTGCCAGCCAAGGGCGGCAGTATCTTCCCTGGAGTGGCAGGCCACGAGAATTTCTCATCAGCCCCAGCCATGTGTTGCTAAGGTTAAATTCTAAGCAAATGAAAAAGAAAAAAGGTGAGGGGCAACCTTCTTTCCCCCAGCCTCCACTCTTAGGGTAAAAGCTCTACCTTAGACATGGCACGTTAATAGCTAATTTGTAGGGCAAAGGTTCCAGGAGAGGCAGGTCAAGACCAGAGAGGCTACCGTCCCAACCCAGAAGCCTGCTCCCAAAGTAGGAGTGTCACTCAGAGTATGGCATACCTGTTACCAGTCCCAGCTCAGAGCTGCTGCTTAGTAACTTTTGCCTCGGGAGAGAACCAGGATGTAAAACGAGCTCCCGAATAGGTGAATTTATTTGAAACAGAATATAAAGAAGTTAAAGCCTAAGAGTACTCAATACAGCAAATTTTGGTGGAAAGCAATTCTGCAGAAGCTGGCTTTGAAAGAAATACAAACTAAACCAAAGGCCACCTAATATTCCAGAGAGAACCAGGGAAAGAGAGGCCTTCTGGCGTTAGAACCAACCACAACCATTGACCCCAAATACTATCTCTTCAAGGGAGCCAGGATTTAATTGGATCAGGACGTGGAGTAATTTATTCCTCAGAGCATGGTTGAAAACAACAAAGCAATCAGCCAAGACTAGTTGAGCTTAACAGCTGGCTAGGAAACAGAGTAAAGAGCCCTGCTAAAACCACCGTCATCCCAGGGTGACTGTGTACATGCCCAAAGGGGTGACATCTGGGGACCAACATCAAAGGTTCCATAAAGTGGAGGAAACAGACATTACTAAAATAAGTTCAGTCGGACACTAAAGAAATAAACAAGTCAACAATGATAACAAGTTCCAGGGAATGGGGAGGTACGGCGGATATCAATATCCAGAGTGGCTATAAACAGAAAGTATCAGTAAAGAGATACATACTGTTTTTTTTTTTAAAAAAGAACTGCATAGAAATTCTTAAGTTGAAAAAGTACAACTAAAATGAAAAATATACCAGAAGGGCTCAACGGATTTAAACTGACAGGAGAAAGAATTAGCAAACTTGGAAATAGGGATAATGCAAATCAAAGAACAAAGAGAAAAAAGATCGAAGAACATTGAATACAACCACAGAGAAATGTGGGTCACCATTAAGTACATCAACATATGTGCAATGGGAATACAAGAATTCCAAGTCTGATTTTCAAGAAATTCTTCAGGTAGCTCAACAAACTCTAAGTAGAATACATGCAAGTAGAACTACTTCAAACACATCATAGTAAAAATGCTTTGTTAGTAATATCAAACATGAGTAACAATGCAATCAAAATTAAAAGCATCTCTTTTTCAAAGGACACATCAAGGAAGTAAAGCAAACACACCTAATGGGCAAAGAATGTGAATGAACATTGCTCCAAAGAAAATAAACAAATAACCATTAAACACATAAAAATATGCTCAACATCATTTGTCATGATGGAAATGTGGATTGAAACCACAACAATGTACTGCTGCACACCGACCAGGATGGCTATCATCAAGAAAAAAGATAATAGCAAGTGTTGGTGAGGATGTGAAGAGATTGGAAACCTCATTCCTGTTGGAGGGATTGCAAAATGGTACAGTCACTTTGGAAACTAGTCTGGAAGTTTCTCAAATAGTTACCACAGTTATATGACCCAGAAAATTCTACTCCTAGACATATACCCCCCCAAAATGAAAACATATGTCCACCCAAAAACTTATACATGAATGTTCATAGCAGCATTATAGCAATATAATAGCCAAAAAGTAAAAATAACCCAAATGTTGATGAACGGACAAGCAAACCATGGTATATCCATAAAATGCAGTATTATTTGGCAATAAGAAAGGATACATGCAACATGAATGAACTTTGAAAACATTATTCTAAATGAAAGAAACCATCCCAAAAGACCAAATACACATCTATTATATGATTTCATTTATGTGAGATGTCCAGAAGAGGCAACTGCAGAGACAGAAAGTCTATTAGCGGGAGTTGCCAGAGGATGGCATGGTTGAGGGTGACAGCCTAAAGGTGTGCAGCTTCTTTTTAAGGTGATAAAAATGTTCTAAAATTGATTGTAGTGATGGTTGCACAACTCTGTGAATATACTAAAAACTGTTGAACTGTACACTTTAAATGGGTGAATTGTATGGTATATAAATTATATCTCAATAAAGATGTAACAAAAACAGTTTATATAGAAATAACTAAAATTTTTAAAAGAATTTTATTTTGGAAATACAACAAGGAGTATAATTAAGCATGAAATAATTTCATTCTTGATAATAGGTAAACATTACAAATATGTGAAGTAAACTAGTTGGTATCCCAACTCTTTTAAAAGAGTTACATTTATTGAAATTAACTTTTATTCTTTTGCAAAGGCATAACCTTACTTACAGGATGAATACATTTAATCTAAATGTTCATTGTCATAAATAAGAATCAGAAGTCAACACACATAAAATCAGTTGCATTTATTTTTGTTAAACAGCTGTACAAAGCTATTAACACAAAAAATGAAAGGATTCTTTAGGAAATATTTCAAACTACAAGGTTGGAATGCATGTTTCTTTCTGATACTATTATTACACTAAATACAACAGTCAGATATTCTTATAGGACTGCACATAGGATTATATATGCCAAGATTAAAATAATGCAAATTCTAAGAAACTCATAAACAGAAATGATTGAAAGATTCCTTTATGTTAAATCCAGCAAATGTTGTTCTACAATGCCCTTTTTATTATGAAAAACAAGTTTAACATTTAGGAACCTTGATGGACAAAACATAGTTGAGTCAAATATAATCTTTTGTAATTTTTGCATCTAATTATTGAAGCTGTTAACTCTATACATTCAAAAATTTAATAATGAACTATTGTTTCAATAAAAAATTGTTCAATTTTACTCGCAACTTTTCAGAGTTTAATTTTAATACAGATTGGCATCTAAAACTATTAGCAAATAGCAATATATTGGGATCTAAAATTATTTGCAAATAGCAAAACACTTTAAAAATTGGACAAATAAAGAGAGAATATGTTGAAGTATAAATCAGGAAACATTTGCTTTACAGAAGATTCTTAAATATACAGAATAATCATAACATATGCCTGTTAAATATTCATGCATTTAAAATAAACACACCAAAAAATCGACTGACATATAACTTTTAGAAACTCTGCAATTTTATAAAGAGAAACACTAGTTTTACCCATAAAAGACATCAAAATATTTTAACAGTTCAAAATACAAAGGGACAAAAAAAAATTTAAAAACCAAAACAGTTTAATCGGATGGCTTCAAGAAATTCATCATTTTTAGAATATATTTTCAGCCCTAACTTGTAACACATTTGACATCCATTTCTGCTTTTCCTGGAATCATTCTGGACTATGTGGAAGAGTAAAACCACGTGGAGGCAATTGGTGATTTGGGTTAATATCCTGAAAAAACATGCTGTCTGTATACACAAAGTAATAAAGAACAAAGTTCTGAAGTACAATGCATGCTCCCTATGTTGTAAAACCAAAGTCTAGCAAAAGCACCAAGATACAGATGCCAAAAGATAGAAAAAACATAAACCAGCACACACCTTATCACATACCTAATCAGGTAAGTTTTATTTGTTGGATTGTTTGGCATTTGGGAGCTAAATAAATGAATTTAGCAAGCTAGAAATCCCATTGCTGTCATAATAAAGATTTGCTTATTAGTAAAAATAGCGTGGTGAGGACTCCCTTGTCCTTACTCATGAGGAAAAAGTGACCATGATTTTCTTATGGGAAAGAAGGAAATGGATAATACTTTTTGGAAAATAAAAATAAACTTTTAAATGAAGAAGCTAAGGCACTTATTTCAATGGTTTTGCAACAGTATGGGCAAAATATGCTCTGTATTTCTTCAAGAAATTCCTTCCACACAAAGACCATAAAGTTGCTCCTTAGAGAGATCTTTATTGTCAAACCTAACAACTTGTAAATTACATAAGCAGAATTACTTGCAAACTTCTTAATTATTTGTTATTCTACAAATAAGTTAATTAAATGCTCCTCAGTTTTCTAGTGCTATTGTTTTAACTACAGTTAAAATAGAAACAAGTAATATTATCTCTCATATCCAGTATTATTATTTCTATATTAAAGCTCACATTTTCCTTTTCAAATGATTCTGAATGAAAAATTTATTACTTAGAAAATCCAATTAAAAGTTTCTCCAAGTCCATTTTATTTAACAAGTAAGTTGACAGAAGCAAAAGCACCTATTATGTCAAAACAAAAATAAAACAAAGAACCACACACAACAAACTAATAATTCAGCATCTTTGATCATAATGTAAATCAATAAAAATTAAATATTTCATGCTAGATAGAAAATAGGGTATTCTATTTCCCTTTCAAAATATGTATGCTGACTTTTAAATCACAATGTTTTACAAGCTCTAATCATAAGTATTACCATGTGACTATTCACTATGTTCTTAGATAATTATGGTAATATTTTCATAAGGCTTGAAGCTACATATTAGTGACTCATTATTAAGATGTACAGAGAACTTGAAATATCCTGCCTACAGCTATCTTAATATAATTGTTAAAAAAATTACATAAAAGCATGAAATGGAACGAATAAAACTATTGCACCAGATATAAGACACAGCCATTGAACAATTCTTAAGCTCCAAAAGAGCAAAGCAACCTAGAGTTAGTCCAAGAATGAATGTGCTTTCAAATTTTTAAAACATATTACAGAAAATAAAGATTCTGGAAACATGCTCCCTTCTAATATAGAGTAGTGACTGCAATTTTTACAGCACTCTAAAAAGTGAAAATTTTGAAAACCTGTTCACTTAACAGATATATAAAACTAAACACACATCCCATCTTATTAAAATATCATATTTATCCTGAATCTCTTTATAAAGCCAAATAAATCATTTTAGATTTTCTTTTAATAAATGATTTAAAATGTGAAAACATTTAACTTAAAGGAACAGAGCATTTAGATGGTGAAACCATGCTGTGAATTTTATTATAATTGTCATTCTTTTTGTTGAAGACTGTATCACAGTTTCATAAATAATAGCACTTTTATAATAACTATATCTGTATGCAGAGGTATGTTTAAAAGCATCTGCACATATCTCCAAGAAATTGTTGCTCATTTTAGTGTACATCTATTTATCATGATAAAGATTTTTACCTAATATTTCAGTAGAAAACATGTGAATAGACTGTATACTTCATATCTATATTTGTATTTATTTTTTAATTTTATTTATTTATTTTTAGAGAGAGGAGAAAGGAGGGAGAGAGAGAGGGAGAGACACATCAATGTGTGGTTGCCTCTCACGTGCTCTCTACAGGGAACCTGGCCCACAAACCAGGCCTGTGCTCTGACTGGGAATCAAACCGGCAACCCATTGGTTTGCAGGCGGGCACTTTGCACTCAGTCCACTGAGCCACACCAGCCAGGGCTCCATATCCATATTTTTAAAAACCTGAACATTCTTGTAAATATTTGTTTTAAAAAATATATAGGTAACAAGAGTTACTATTTTATCATGATTAAATTGGTATCAAATTTATGAGCATAAGTAACCAACGCTAATCACTTAATAGTTATAAAATAATAAAATGCAATATCATACACTATATATTACTAAGAAAGTGCTCACTTATATAAGCAGTAGATAATGAAAACAGTATCATGGAATAGCTGGATATATCTTTACATATATATCCTTAGAAATCACTTTCTTTTATATCATTTCCATTTTAATTTAAATGCCATGTTTTCACCTAACATTTAAATTAGTTTTTTATTGTAACATTTCAGTTCTATAATAAACCATAAACTGCCTTTAGAAACTGCCTTGAGGGTAAGAATAATTCTGTTCTATATAATTATATCACATTAAGTATATATTGAATGTTATGTTTGTGAAATATACTGAGACCTTGAACATATTCAAATTCAAGATCAATGTCATGATAAAATGAAGATTTATAAGGAAATTTTTATAATAGTTCAGAAGGTGAACTCTTTAAAGACCATGTAACAGTAAGGAAACTCCTGGCTGGAATACTGCAGCATGGTGCGATTCGACATTTTACCAAAGGACAGCAAGGCTTAATCTTCTACCCCCCACAGAACTCTGGATCCAGTTAATTGCAGGAGGGAAAAGCAGCAGGAGCACTTCAAACGTCCATATTCTGATTTCCAAAAGCACACCACACTGCATTTTATTTCAGATGGTATAAGTCTTTGAAATGAGGGCTCTGCTATTTTCAAGACTGAAAGGATATCACAGTGTTGATTTTATACACAAAGTAGGATCTGTTCCAGTATACTCTAGTGAAATAATTCACATATGGAGAATAGTTAATTTTGACCTCATGACAAAATCGCCCATACTTTGAGTAGGTTAACTTGTCATCCTCTTCACAAACCATCTATCAAAAGATATGAAACATAATATTAAAAAACTTATTAAGCTTATAGGAGAAATACAGTCAATATACAAATGACTACATTTATATGGAAATATAATACGCTAAACATGGACTATCCCCCATTGTTTAGCAAACATCTCACATTGTTTATTTAACAGAAGCCTAATCACAAGAAGATCACCGCGTATACTCAACTTCTGACCTTCCCACTGAGATTGAGACACTAGTACAAAGTGTTTCCAATTTTAAAAAGATTTCATCCCTAAAACTTAGAAGCCTATGTCTCCATAGTCCATTATCATTCCTTGTAAGAACTTCATCATGGAGCCTGCCAAAGCTGAGAAATACACATACAGGGTGGGGCAGACAAAGGTTCACAGTGGTTCGTATGGAAAAGAATACAATAATTAACAAATAATAAGAATAAACTCTGTGTTTCTCATACTCACAAATGTAAACCTACTTTCCCCACCTTGCACTATATTCTTAATATATATTCAAACACTTCTCCTGGTGTAGAACTGATTTACAATCACCTAGTAAGCAAGTGAATTTTTATAACTTACCCAGTGCAAACCTTTACATTCCCTCCTTAATGATGTTCACTAAGGTAGCGTAGCTAGCTTGTAGGATTTTCTATAAAACACTAAACGTTATTCTAATGCCAAAGGAAGACGTCAGAGAGCCAACTTTAATAAGAGTAAAAGGATAGGTTAGCTTTATGTCTGTGCCTGGCATTACATGAAAGTAACCTGATCTTCAAAATGGAGCAAAAAGGTAGCCAAAAGTAGATTATAAAAAGGCTCCAGATAGCAGATACCAATACAGCAGCAATCACTAAATGCTTTTGATTTTTTTTTTTTTTGTTAAATCCTTTTTTAAAAAATCCTCACTTGAGAATGTTTAATGATTTGAGAGAGGATGAAGGAGAGATATCAATGAAAAAGAGAGAGGGTGGGGGAGAGAGATGTGAGAGAGACACATTGATCTGCTGCCTCTCATAAGCACTCCCCTGCAATCTAGGTATGTGCCCTGGCCAGGAATTAAACCCGCAAACTTTTGGTGCATGGGATGATACTGCAGCCAACTGAGCCACCTGCCCAGGTCCCTGTTATCTTTAATAAAATTCCATTTTGTCACCGGTTAAGCCAAAGATCAAAGATATCAAGTATGAAGAGAGAAATTTTAAAAAATACATGCAGCAGAAAACACAGTATGTTTTTAAGTTTCAGGGGTCATGAAGAAAGAAAAAGGTGAAAATCATAAAAACTAACTTCTCAGCTCCAAACTAGTCTGTGATGATAAGACAAAGAGCTAATTATTTAGGAAGGGACAAAAAAAAAAAAAGTCTCGGTTGTAACCTGAACAGAATATGCACCCCAACCTAGAATGATCTAATAAACTTTTCCTAGGGTTTCTCAGAAGTAAAGGTACCCATTCCAGACAACACTCCCCCCCTGCCAGTCTTCTCAGTTGCTAGATATGCAGTATACACTGCAGGCTGAGATGTAAGATGTTTGGTAAAATAGCTAAAATTAATGAAAAATTAAGATACAGCTAAGTCCTACTGACTAAAGTGCCTCTGAATACACTAATTGTTGTAGATAATAGGGACTCTAAGCACTGCTATAATTTAGTAAGCAATTTTCCTAGATATGTATTAAATTATAATAACTTTCTCAATATAACATTCCAACCAAATGCTCTACAGATTATCAATTAAAATCATCATTCAAACCAAATTATGCCATCTTGTTTTTTTTCAGATGCTCATTTTTCCCCCCAATATTATTTTGTAATGGTTTCAGGTGTACAGCGTATTTCCAGTACCCACCTGGCACCATACATAGTTACCGCCATACATATTTCTGACTACATTCCCAATGCTGTACTTTACACCCCTGGCCAGCTTTTGTTTATAAATGTTGAATATACATAAGTATAGGTAATGAATAAGAAACGTATTGGTAAAAAAATTTTTTTGCAAAAATACCCAACTTTCCTTTTGTACGTTAAAAAAATACTTCAAACTACTTTTAATAAGCTCCCCCCCACACTGTTATAAAACTTTTAATTATATTCTTAGTTAAGTTCCAAAAATAAAGTGTGAAGATTACAAGTTTAAACACAGTCATTTTTCTCAAAAAGATTTAGTTTTCCAAATGGTTACTTACATGGCCATTTGCAATGTCTAATAAATCTTTAACCCTACAGCCTCTCATGGTTCCCACCTCATTGCAGATAGCATCCTCTACAATTAGGTAATTAGCTTTGTAAGATGTCAGGATTTTATAAATATCCTCAGCTGATCGCTTTGAATAGATTTGATAGATCTGAAAGAACATAATTAAAAGTTATTTTAAAAGAAACTCAAAACTTTTATTAATCAAAATTATACATTACGCATCTACCATGTTTGAGATTCACTAAGTCTTAATTCCTGCCCTCAGAGAGCTTATATTCATATGCAATTAGCCATTTGTATATCTTCCTTGGAGAAATGTACATTCAAGTTTTTTGCCCATTTTTTTCGTAGCTTTACTGAGATAATGAATAACATATAATAGGGGGAAGGGTTGAGGTGGAAGAGGATGTAAGAGGGAAAAATGGTAATGCAAACAATACAATAAAAAATAAACTATTAAAAAACATATAACATTGTGTAAATTTAAAGTGTACAAGGTGCTCATTTGATACATTTAAATATGGCAAAATGATTACCACCATAACATTAGCTAACACCTCCATGATGTCACTTAATTACCATTTATTTTTTTGTGGTGAGAACATTTAAAACTTACTCCCTTAGCAACTTTCAAGTATATAATACAGCATTAATAACCTAATCACCACTTTGTACATGAGATCCTTAGAACTTACTCATCTCATAACTGGACGTTTATAACCTTTCACCAGCATTCCCTAGTTCCCCATCCTTCGGATGCTGGCAAGCACCACTCCGTTTCTATGAATTCAACTTTTTAGAATTCAATATATAGGTGAAATCATACACTATATGTCTTTCTCTATCTGACTTATTTCACTTAACATAATGCCCTCAAGAGTCTTCCCTATTTTTGCAAATGGCCTTTGCCCATTTTTAAATTGATTTATCTTTTTATTATTGAGATGTAATACTTCCTTTATTTTAATTACCATATATCAGAGGTATATTATGCTTATTTTATACATGAAATAAAGTCAGCAAGGCTAAAAATAGTTTGACCATTGTAACAAAATACTAAATGAGCCAGTGATACTTAAAATTCAAGCCTTGATTCCATGGCATTTTTCATTAGAATTTTTCTGACCTTATTAGATAATGACTCCAGACATTGCCAAATGTCTCCTAGGGGCATGACTGTCCCAGGTTTGAGAATCACTGCCATAGGTGATCATGAAAAAAATCCATCACCTGTCATGAATTATAGATAGTGTCTAATTCAAATGATACAGTCTTTCATTTATGGAGTTTGGTTTAGATTTTAGTTTAACAACAAATTTATTCAGTATTTGCTATGTACCAGACATCAGAGAGAAAGACAAAGATTTGAAAAACATGGTTCCTATTCTCAAAGCCAAGTCATATAAAGCTTAAAACTCTAAAGTGTTGAAATTTAATTACCAACTAATCAAAATTCTGGTCTAATTATAAGAGATTCTAAAATTCTGTATTAGTAAAAAGACCAACCAAAAAATTTTTTAAAAACCCACAAAGTCATGTCAGAACTGGCTGGTTCAAATCCACAAAAATTAGAGTTCATGAATCTATTCTGTCTAAGCAACACTATCTTTTCAAAGTGCAGCAAATACTAATTAGAGACAGCTGTTGTCTCTGAGGTAAATGACTCTCTGGTAGATCTCTCAATCTCTGATTTTTCCTGCTTCATTCTGTTCTCTCTGCTATGAACATAATGAATTCTCTAAAACAGATCTAAGCACTCAATTCCCAGGCTTATTAAAGGTTTTTAATAACTCCCAAATACTTCAAGGGTGAATCTAAACCCTTTAGCATGACATTCCAGGGCCTTTGGAAACTATTTTATAGTTTCATGACCATACAAATTTCATGGCTCATGTTGCTTTTTCAGACTCAAATCATATGCATTTTCCCCCCAAAGAAGTTTCTACTCATCCTTTGAAGACCAGATCAAGAGAATGTCCTTTTTGAAGACTTGAATTTTTGTAGGCAGAATTGATTGCTACTGCTTTCAAACTCCTCTTTGTACCTTGTGTATTTATACGTGTTCATGTGTCTACACATACAATTACAATTTAATAGTATAAGATAATAATAGTAACTAACATTTAAATTTTACTGTTTCAGGCAAAGTGCATCATCTAATTTTCACAACTAGGAGGTGAGAACTATTATTTCCAGATTCAGATACTTGCTCAACATTAAAAAATTGAGGACACAAATAAGTGGAAAGATATTCTATATTCATGGATTGCAGAAATTAATACTGTTTAAATGTCCAGACTTAAAGCAATCTATAGGTTCAATGCAAGCCCTATAAAGATTGCAATGACATTTTTTGCAGAACTAGAATAAATAATTCTAAAATTTGAATGGGACCACAAAAGATCCCAAATAGCCAAAATAATTATTTATTTATTTATTTAGTTAGTTAGTTATTTAGTTATGGGGACAGAAACATCGACTTGTTCCACTTTTCCATGCATTCATTGGTTGATCCTTGCATGTGTCCTGATGAGGGACAGAACCCGCAACCTCGGTGTATCTAGATGACACTCCAACCCACTGAGATACCTGGCCAGGGCACCAAAACAATCTTGAGAAAGAACAACAAAGTGGGAAATATCACATTCCCTGATTTCAAAGTATACTACTAAGCACAAATAATCAGATCAGTCTGATAATGGAATAAAAACACAAATAGATCAATGGAACAGAGTAGAGAGCCCAGAAATAAACCCACACATATAGGGGCAACTAATTTACAACACAAGAGACAAGGATATACAATAGGGCTCTCTTTCCACAAGGCAGCTAGACCAGCAGTACCGGTGAGTATTCCTCTTGCCACTCTAGCCCCAGCTGCAGCCCCACCTCAGCCCCAGACCTGGCCCAGCCTCGCCTCCAGCATCCATCCCAGCTCCAGTTCTAGCTCCAGCCTCAACCCCCTACCCAGTGGCAGCAATGGCTACGACTGTGGCTCCGGCCCAGACCCTGGCCTCAGCACCAGCCCCAGGGCAGACCTCAGTGCAGTCACAGGCCGATCCTACTTTACCAGGCCCCTTCCCCAACGGCCCTGTGGTCTGGCTGCACCTGGCCATTTTGGCCTCCATCATGGACAGCTACAAGTGACACAATGAGAACGCTGCCCGAGATATCAGGATTGTGCTAGGAACTGTTGACAGTCACTCAGTGGAAGTCACCAATTGCTTTTCAATGCTACACAATGAGTCAGAAGATGAGGTGGCTATTGACATGGAATTTGCTAAGAACATGTATGAAATGCACAAGAAAGTCTCTCCAAATGAGCTCATCCTGAGCTGGAAAGCTACAGGCCACGACTTCATAGAGCACTCTGTGCTGATCCATGAGTACTACTGTTGGGACGTGCCCAACCCCATCCACCTTACTGTGCCTCCAGAACGGTCACATGAGCATCGAGGCTTATGTCAGCATTTCAATGGTTGTCCCTAGGAGGACTATGGGAGTGATGCTCACACCTCTGACAGTGAAATACATGTACTATGACACTGAACACACTGGAGTTGACCTGCTCATGACAACCTGTTTGAACCCCAACCAGGTGACTGGACTGTCAAGTGACCTGCAGCGAGTGGCAGGGTCATGGGCTCACATCCAGGATGGCCTAAGCACGGTGCGGAAGTACGCAGAAGATGCATGGTCTGGAAAGGTATCAGCGGACGACACTGTGGGCCGCTTCTTGATGAGTCTGGTTAACCAAGTGCCCAAGACAGTTCCCAGTGACTCTGAGACCATGCTCAACAGCAACATCAATGATCTGCTGATGATGACCTTCACAGCTAATCTCACATAGTCATGGATGAGAAACTTGTAAACCTGTGAATGGACCCCAGGCAGCCCACTCCTTCCATTCTGGCCCCAACTCTAGGATTCAGAATGGAGTGAAATGGAAATGGCTTCTTGTGGTTTGAGTCACGCTGAGTGAGTCAACTGGTTGTGACTTAAACAAACATGGCTTACCATTTGTAAACTTAAAAAACAAGACTATACAATAGGGAAAAGACAATTTTTGACATATACGGTGTGGGGAAAACTGGACAGCCACATGCAAAAGAATGAAACTAGACCACTATCTTACACCATACATGAAAATTAACTCAAAATCAGTTCAAAATATGAATATAAGACCTAAAAAACATACAATTCCTGCAAGAAAACATAGGTGGTAAGCTCCTTGACATTGTTCTTGGCGATGTTTTTTGGGATTTGACTCTGAAGGAAAGGGAAACAAAAGCTAAAATAAACAAATGGAACTATATCAAACTAAAAAGCTTCTGCAAGATAAAGAAAAATAAAACAAAAAGACAACCTACTGAATGAGAGAGGACATTTGTAAATCATACAACCGATAAGGGGTTACTATCCAAAATGTATAAAGAACTCATACACTCCAACATCAACAAAAAACAGCTTGATTAAAAAATAGACAGGTGATCAGAATAGATATTTTTCCAAAGAAGACATAGAGATGACCAACGGGTACATGAAAAGATGCTCAACATCACTAATCATCAAGGAAATGCATATTAAAACCACCTCATACCTGTCAGAATAGCTATCATCAAAAATGGAAGAAACAACATGTTGGTGAGCATGTAGAGAAATGAAAAACTCTTGTGCACTGTTGGTGGGATTATAAATTGGTGCAGTCACTATGGAAAACAGCATGGAGATTCCTCAAAAAATTAAAAATAGAACTACCATATGAGCCAGCATTTCCACTTCTGGGTATTTACTTGAAAAAAATGAAAACACTAATTTGAAAGATACGTGCACCCCCATGTCCATTACAGCATTACTTACAATAGCCAAGACATGGAAACAACCTAAATGTAAATCAATAGATAAACAGCTAAAGAACACATGGTACATACATACAATGGGATATTATTCAGCCACAAAAAAGAATGAAATCTTGCCATTGCAACAACATCTCGAAGGCATTATATTATCCTAAGTGAAATACGTCAGATGGAGAAAGACAAATGCTATATAACTTCACTCATAAGTGAATGTAAAACAACACACACACAAGCACAGAGACCAGGTGGTGGTTGGTGGGCAAAAGGGTGAAGTGAATCAAAAGGTACAAATTTGCAGTTATAAAATAAACAAGGCATGGGGATATAATATACAGAATGGTGACTACAGTTAATAATACTGTTCTACATATCTGAAAGTTGCTAAGAGAGTAGATAAGGTTTCATCACAAGAAAAAAAAATGTTATAGCTCAGTATGGTGACAGATGTTAACTAGACTTATGGTGGTGATAATTTTGCAATACATACAAATATCAAATCATTATTTTATATACCTGAAATATAATGCAATATGCCAATTATGCCTCAATTTTTTTATAAAAGGGCATTGTGGAAATTTCCCCTGTCCAAAGAAAGAAACTTGCTCAAGGTAACAAAGCCAGTATGTGGCAGAGATAGAATCTGAGTCCAGATACTCTAATATCAGAGTCTGTATTCTTGCAGTCTAATATTATACTTTAACTTCTATGCTGCTATATTTTCTCCTTAGCTTAGAGGATACTCAAAAACTATATGAAGCTCTCTTAAATTGAAAAACAGAGTAACTGGAACTCAAGTTTATTTAGTCATTGTCTCCACATATAAAGTTACCATTTAAATACATACTAAACACTCAAAATAATATATTCTCTTAACATTAAGTAACTAGACACTATTCTAATGTTATAATAAATATAATAGCCCATACTGAAAAATAAATCACAGTGTAATAGAATTTTAGCTTAGAAATACAAAGTGTATCAAGACATTAATTGACAGCGTTCCTTCAATAATTTGATTAAGAACAATGATATTTTCAAAATTATGTTACTCTTTGTGAAATATTACATATTAGTTCCCTTGAAACTTTGTGGGAAATTAAATGTTTCTTCTACAAACACACCTATACTGTTAATAAAACCTTTAATATTTTAATTTTGGCTCTCCTCTTGTTTAAATGTATTATGCAGCTTTTAAAAAACTAAAGCTAATTAACCCTTCTAAAATTACTTGGATTTTCCCAGCTAATCAGGAACATATGCATCATTACAAAAAAAGTTTATTTAATAAAATAAAGAGTAATATTTAAAAAGATCCAAATGTAGACGCTAAAATGCCTTACATTTTCCTTTTTTTAAAAAAAAAGATTTTTATTTATTTATTTATTATTTTTAGAGAGAAGCAGAGAAAGGGAAAGAAACATCAATCAGTTGCTTCTCGTATGCCCCCAACCGGGAACCTGGCCCCCAACCCAGGCAGGTTCCCTGACCAGAAATCGAACCCGTGACCTTTGGCTTTGTGGGACGATACCCAACCCACTGTGCCACGCCAGTCGGGGCATAAAATGCCTTACATTTTCATTTCTCTTGAGAAGATCATCATCATTGTAAAGAGGCAAGCTTGTTACCATCCATCCAGTGCATAATTTAATTGCACCCATTAACTGTGGACTCCCTGCAAACACAGCTGCAACTGGAGCTTGCCTTCTGCAAAGAAGCATAGAGATTTAGATGTTGGAAAGGTAAATATACTATTTAGATCATTCATATATATCAACTCTGAAATACCAGGCAACTTATAACATACTATATACTTAAGTTTCAGTGTCAGCTTTCACTTCATTTTACTTATGGATTCATTCAAAACAACTGAGCACCTATTATGTACCAGGAATGATTCTGAGTGCTGAAGATACAGACATTTTTTAAAGCAGGAGTGGAGACAAGATCCTTTCTTGAAGATATTAAAAATCTAAGTCAGGTGGTAATAATGCTATTAAAAAACAATATAGGGTAATGGGATATAGTAACAGGAATATACCATTTTATATAGTGTGATCAATTCAGTGGTGATACTGTGACTTTTCAAGTTCATCTTTTTTGCAAATATTAACCACCACAATTAAACTCCTTTCAGACCCATCTATCCTCCTGCTCCTTCCCTACCTTTACCTCATATCTGTCTCCAGATGACACAGTTAGGACTTCTCCACCCTGAACCATGATTCAAAGCCCCAGATAGATGCCACTTGCAAGGCTAGGAAACCCAGAAATAGGAAACCCTATTGCCTCCATTTATTTATTCACTCCCTGTATTCAGCATCAACCCACTGTGTGTTAGGGATAGTCCCAAGCTCTGGAAATAAAGAGATGGCACATAGCCATTGTCCTCCAGGAGCACCCAGTAAAGGGGAAACAAACACAGAACTGAATAGTTACACAACAGTAACATAAATGTCCAACTGTCTGATGTAAAATGTCCTATATTCAGGCCTTTGTTGTTTTCTTATAAATATGTACTATGACAAATCACACACATAGATGTAACTCCCTCTTTTGTTAATGACAACACAAAGGTAGTTTTTTACAATGGTAAATAAAATTCATAGAAAGTATTAATGGGGAATAGTTAAGGGTAATCTAAAGGAAACAAATTTTATATACACAAGAGGTGTTATTACAGTATAATGCCTTATAATAAGACCTATTCTCATTTCTACATGCCTAGTCTATAAACGTATTCCTCATTTCTAGAAACATTTTTCTCCCCTCTCCCCCTACAGTTTCCTGGTCTTTTTTGATAGTGTTTCCTTCCTTTTCATGTTTCAGTTTCTTCTCTGTGTTCAATAGTTTTCAACATAGTTATTTCAGTTTCTATCCATGGCATAAGACTAGAGGCAGAATGGCTGCACCGATTCTCCTTCTTATAGCTACTCTCTAGGAGGAAACTCTGGTCTTGGCCATGTGACTTGCTTTGGCCACCAAACATAATGTGAGCAGAGACAAAACATGCTTGACATTCAGACTTGCCCTCTCTTGCCGCTCTTGGGAACTCTACAACCACTACTTTGTGAATGAACCCTGGCTAATATGGGCTGGATGATGAGAGACACATGGCCAAGTCAATTCTATCCCTATCCCCTCAGCAGGTACCTATCCAAACCTGAACATGTGAGAGAGGCCATGTCAGACTATTCAATCCCAGCTGAGCTGGCCTGGACCAGAAGAATCTTCCCTACTGATAAATCTCAAAATATGCAAAATAACATGTTTACTGTTTGTAAGCCACTAAATTCCATGACTCCTATTATGCAACAAAACTGACACAAATAAATTTTACTATGAGAAATTACTAGAGGTCTAATTCTAGAGAGCTGATTCTTGCTGTGTTAGACTTTCTCGTGTGTTTTATAATTTTAGATTTCCTCTTCAAGAAGTTTTATTGATAGAATCCGTGAAGTCTGCGTTGATGATTTATGAGGCACTCCAGATTACCCCAGAGCCATTTTTATGCTGATTTCTTTATTTTGGGTTTTCTGGATTAATCAAGTATAATTTCAAACTATAAACCCATGTGAATCCAGATCCATTGCTACAAATTCAAGAGAAATGGCATTTTCTTTTTTTTTTGGCCAAGAGCTGAGGCCAAAGGAATCATGCTTCCTTATCATCTTTCTCTACAGCTGGATGGGTCTTTTGCTAGACTATCCTTTCACTGATAGTGTTACCCTTTGAGGTCCCACTAAACACATAAAAAACACATAGTTAGTTATGTGTGTGTTGGGAGAGGGGAAAAGTTGTCTTGATTATAAATCTCGGCTTCCATAGGCCTACAACCACATCTCTTGTCTTGAATGGGCATTAAAATTAAAATTAAAAATCCTGATAACCTTGGTTACCAAGACTAGTAATCTACCACTTATCCATCTCCAACTAGGGCAAAAGAAGCATCCTCTTGACTATCTAAATAAAAGGATATTTGTTCCTTTTTATTCCACATTACTAAGTGTTTGATGGTGGAGCATCTCAAACCTCAAACTAACGAATGTTATATTTTCAAAGGAGCCAAGTACTATTAGAAAATTAGAATTATAAGTCCAATACAAAATTAAATATCCTTTAAAAAAGTATACAATTCTTGAATTTTATGAGAATTTGAAAAAACATTAATTTTTCACTTCTCCTGAATCCACTAGATAGCATACAATGATTTATTGTTTAACAACAATATTGGGCAGTTCAATTCTTACTTTATCCAGGTCATAAGTTCCACTGTATCTGGGTCATAGAATTCTTGTAGTTCAGTTAATTCTGTCATTAATCTTGGAAAAAACTAAAATGCAAAAACAAAATCCACCCAAAGTGTAAGTATCTAGAAAGCTGAAAATTGTTCCAAAGTATTTCAAAAGACTATGAAATGAATTTAAGTCAAACAATTTTACACTTCATATTTTAAAAATGTCATAGCTCTCTTTACTTTCTTTCAGTGACCTGCTCATTCTTTTCAATCCAAGTCAACTATTTTATAGTTAACTTACTTCCTAGACTCAATAAATAATTTTATAATTACTAAACAACTAATCATCAGTTGTATCTTTTATGCACACACAATAATTAATTAGTTAATTACTTTTTGAGTCAAATAACTCAGATTTTTTTGGTAATTAGTTTCATGTTATATCATAAGCTAAAAATTATATTATTTTATAGATATTTAAAGTTTGGAATTGCCAAAATACTATTTAATATTAAGACTGCTTCATTGAGCAATTTCCTTTGCCAATTATAAATTGACTTAATGACAGTATTAGACAACAGAAAATAGCATCAAGTGGCATTCGAAGAATGTTTTAACTTTTCTATCATGTTCCTAACAATTAAAAAAACAAGTATTACTAAGAATATCACATTTTATTTTGTTAGAACAGTATTTCAATATAACTACACTACACACATATATATCTACCTTGTAGGTAAAGGACATTTTAATATAAAAATCTGAATTTCTTACCTCCTTCCATAAGCTGAGACCTATTATAGTGGGCATAGCCATGCTCAGAATAAGAGCCTAAAATATTAAAGCAAAAGGGTTATAAATAAATACATTTCAGAATGTACTTTAAAGTACTAGACACTGACTCTATGACCAAGCTCCTATCAATATAGTTATACTAATTTAAGTCAGCACGAAATCTAAGTCATGAATTGGGGTGGGTGAAGACTAATGATAAGTTTAAAACATATTATAGTGGAAGTAAAGTGAGACACATATATTTACTATATCAATTTAAGGCAGAACATAGAAATGGTAACACTCTTGTAATATTTCAAATAGCAAATCAATACTTGACAATCTTGCCAGGAACTTAAGTTAGGAAGAACATACAAAGGTTACTAAACTGCTACCTAAAACACTAACAACAAAAAGACAATGAAATAACACAGAAAAAATAGCTAATATATATTGATCAATATCAATATACTAGTACACTAAAATAAGAATGTATAAATTCCCCTAGAAAAAGACTGGCAAAATACATGACTAATATTAAAGATAATTATTTATTGTCTTCCTTCCAAACCTTTTCTTCTTCTTGTCCTATGTTCACTGGTGACCCCATGATCCACAGTCATACATACCAGAAACACAGGAAACACCTCTGGTTTCTCCCTCTTCCTCATTTGCTCATACTTAATCAAGCACCAAGTCTTATTAATCTTCTATTTTTTTAACCCCAGTATAACACAGTATTAATTGAATGGGCATTGCAGTTAGAAAAACCTGGGTGTGAATCATGGTTTCCAGACTTACCAGCTATGTGATCTCAGAGAAATTATTTAACCAGTTTAAGCTTTAGTTTCTTTGTCTATAAAATACTGATAATAAAACTTAGCGAATAGAGTGTTTGTAAAGATTGAATAGCATGTGAAATGCTTGAAAAAATACCTGACACATAGTGAGCACTCAAGAAATTAAAGCTTTCATTACTTTCATCCACCATGGCCTGTACCTGAGTGACAGCATCCTTCCTGGCTCCAGTCTGTGACCCTAAGGCTTATCATTCACAGAACTGTAAGGCTGGGGCCTTGGCCAGGTAGCTCATTTGTTTAGATTGTTGTCCTGATATGCCAGGCTTGCGGGTTCAATTCCCAGTCAGGGTACATATAAGAACCAACCAATGAATGCATAAATAAGTGGAATAACAAATCAATGTTTCTCTTTCTTCCTTCGCCTCTCTCTTGAAAAATTAAAAAACAACAACAACTGTGTGAGCTGAGAGAAAAATGTAGTCTGACTCTTACACACCTGCCTAAACATCTAAATGCCTTCCTACTGCCTATAAGGCTAAATGTCACAGCATGACACTTGAATGCCCCTCTGACCTTATCCTCCTCACTTCTCCAGTCTCATTTCTTGACCACCCCCCTCACATTTTATGTGCCAACAAAACTAAAAATATCATGCTTTTTCTTTGCCTCTGTTTTTATTCCATTTGATTACATCATTCTTTGCCTACCTGTGTTTATTCCTTCTACCATAAATACACTTTCTTTCTCCTTCATTTGACTAATAACATCTTTCAAATGTCATACTGGTAAGTCCTAAAAACTGAATTAAGTAGCCCTTCTCTGTGTTCCAATAGCACTATGTTAGTGTTTTTCATTATCTGTTTTTATGACCAAGAGATTGTAATCTACATGATGAAATGATTCATGTTTTATTTATTTTTGTATTCCAAGCACATTGTACACAGCAGTCATAGCGTAAATGTTCCATTCACATTGACAACATACTGAAGTTCTAAATCAAACCAAGAGAGATATAAAAATTAATTCTTGATAGCCTCTCATATTGTTAATTCACTTTCTTTAACTTTTAACTTGTCTGCATTAAAATGCTTTTCTTGTCCTGTCTGGTGTGGCTCGTTTGAGTGCCGGCCTGCCAACCAAAAGGTCGCTGGTTCAATTCCCAGTCAGAGCACATGTGTGGGCTGCAGGCCAGGTCTCCAGTAAGGGGCATGTCAGAGGCAACCACACACTGATGTTTCTCCCCTTTCTTTCTCCCTGCCTTCCCCTCTAAAGATAAGTAAACAAAATCTTTTAAAAAATGCTTTTCTTTTATAATCATAAATTATAAAAAAAATGTTTTTTACAGGATCTCTTTTACTACCCATAAGTCATAATGTGATGTACTCATGCTATTTCAATGATATCTAATGTGGTTTCCATTTATGTAACTAGAAGAGAGACAAGTACTTAATTTAAAATAACAATGACTCACCAACAGTACTGGGTGTACAGTTCGTAATCGAAGCCATTTGAAAAGTGTTGTCCAAAGCTCAGGAGAGCATACACCAAATGCTGCTAACATGCATACATAAGGAGTCCAGAGGTATTTCAAACTGGAAAAGACAAAAGGAGCCACATATGAGATATCCTATGAACATCATTATTCTCTGATTTATTTTTTCTAAATTCTTTCCTACTACCCATGAAAATACTAGAATGTTAAGGAAGAATGAAAAAGTTTTGCTTCTAATTTAAATAATAATCTTAAATAATCAAGAAGACATGTGGGTTACTAAAATGAGGATGAAATAGCTTTAATATAATGATGGTATAGCAAACTTGTACTCTTGGAGAGCATATAAACTTACACTTTTTCAGAAGGCAATTTGGTAGAAACCATAAAAAATTTAAATACCTCAAGACAATCCCATTTATAGTAATCTAGTTTACAGATATATTACTGTGAGTGTATAATGATACACATACAAGGGTTTTTAGTGCAGTAGGTTGTTTAAACAGGAAAAAATTAGAGCCCTAATTATCTCTCAATAGATATTAATTAAATAAAGTATTATAAAAAACAAAAAACCTAACTGTAAAATTTCATGTAGACTGTGCCTAGTTTTTTGTTTTGTTTTGTTTATTAATGTAGATATATGGTACACCCAAAAAATAACATCTGGACTTCTGGTCAAGATGGAGGCGTAGGTAAACACACTTCACCTCTTCATGCAACCTCAGAAGGAATAACAGCTACACGTCAAAATAAATAACACCCAGAACTGTCAGAAAACTGAGCTCTATGAAAGTCCAACAACCAAGGATTTAAAGAAGCCACATTCATACTGACGGGTAGGAGGGCAGAGATGCAGAGACGTGGTGTGGCGCAGAGAGGCAGTGGAACGGGTGGTCCCACATTCACGTGTGGTGGATCAAAATCAGGAGGGACACCTTGGGAGTGAGTGATCCCAGCCCCAGGCCAGACCACACAGCCCAGAGTTCTGGTGCCAGGAAGATAAATCCCCATAACTTCTGGCTGTAAAAATCAGTGGGGGTTGGGGTGGTGGAAGAAACTGCTAGATTTTCAGGAGACTCAGCTTAAAGGGCCCACAAGGACTTAAAATATATGCAGACCCACTCACTCTGGGATTCAGCACCAGGGCAACAGCTACAACGACACCAATACAAAGGGCGAGTGCCAGAAACCAGGCAGCAACATTGTCCTCTCTCTAACCCCTCTCCCGACACAGACCCACAAAGTATTGCAGTAGGTCGCCCAGGTCTGGTGATTACCTAAGGCTCCACCCCACACATTTTACAGGTGTATGGGGCCACATCTACAACAGGCCACACTGCTAAGACAAGGAGTCAAAGCAGCTCTACCTAATACACAGAAACAAACACAGAGAGGCTGCCAAACTGGGAAGACACGGAGATATGGCTCAAATGAAAGAACAGAACAAAACCCCAGAAAAAGAACTAAACAAAACAGCGATAACCAACCTATCAGATGCAGAGTTCAAAACACTGTTGATCACAATGCTCAAAGAACTCACTGAAATGAAGGTTACACTAAGTGAAATAAAGTAAAATCTACTAAAATCTACAGAAATAAAGTAAAATCTACTAAAATCTACAGGGAACCAACAGTGGAAGTGTTGAAGATGGGATTCGAATCAATGATTTGGAACATAAGAAAAAATTAGCATTCAACCAGAACAGCAAGAAGAAAAAAGAATTCAAAAAAACGAGGAAAATATAAGGTGCCTCTGGGACATCTCCAAATGTACCAACATCCAAATCATAGAGATGCCAGAAGGGGAAGTAGAAGAGCAAGAAATTGAAATCTTACTTGAAAAAATAATGAAAGAAAATGCCTCTAATCTGGTAAAGGAAATAGACATACAAGTCCAGGAAGCACAGAGAGTCCCAAACAAGTTGGACCCAAAGAGTTCCACTCTAAGACACATCATAATTAAAATGCTAAAGGTTAAAGATAAAGAGAGAATCTTAGAAGCATCAAGAGAAAAGCAGAGAGTTATCTATATAGGAGTTCCCATAAGACTGTCAGCTGATTTCTCAAAAGGAACTTTGCAGGCAAGGGACTAGCAAAAAGTATTCAAAGTGATGAAAAGCAAGGACCTATAACCTAGATTATTCTATCCAGCAAAGCTATCATTTAGAATGGAAGGGCAGACTGGCTGTTGTGTCTCAGTGGATTGAGTGCCAACCTGTGAACCAAAGGGTTGCTGGTTTGATTCCCAGTTAGGGCACATGCCTGGGTTGCAGGCCAGGTCCCCAGTGGAGGGGTGCAAGAGGCAACAACACATTGATGTTTTTCTTTCTCTCTCTTTCTCCCTCCCTTCCCCTCTGTCTAAAAATAAATAAAGTCTTTTAAAAATATATTTTAAAAAATAAAAAAGAATGGAAGGGTAGATAAGGTGCTTCCCAGACAAGGTAAAGCTAAAGGAGTTCATCATCACCAAACCACTATTACATGAAATGTCAAAGGAATTCATTTAAGAAAAAGAAGATTAAATTTGCAACAAATTCACAACTATCAACAACTGAATCTAAAAAAAACAAACTAAGCAAACAACCAGGACAGTAACAAAACCATAGATATGGAGATCACGTGGAGGGATAGCAGTTGGGAGGAGGAAGGGGGAGAATAGGGGAAAAGGTGCAGGGATTAAGAAGCATAACTGGGTGTTGCTCAGTGGACTGAGTGCCAGCCTGTGAACCAAAGGTCACCAGTTCGATTCCCAGTCTAGGGCACATGCCTGGGTTGTGGGCCCAGGTCCCTATTTGGGGGTGCGCTAGAAGTAACCACACATTGATGTTTCTCTCCGTCCCTTTCTCTCTCCCTTCCCTTCTCTAAAAAATAAATAAATAAAATCTTTTAAAAAAAGAAGCATAATTGGTAGGTACGAAATAGACAAGGGGATGTTAAGAACAGTTTAGGAAATGGAGAAGCCAAAGAACTTATATGCACAACTCATGGACATGAACTAAGCAGGAGTTTGCTGGAGGGAATGTGGGTACCAGGCAGAAGCAGATAAAGGGAAGAAAAAAAAAATGAGACTGTAATAGCATAATCAATAAAATATATTTAAAAAAATAACATCTGGAAAGACACCACTAATTGTGGTGACCTCTGAAGAGTGGAAATGAAATATTTTCATTTGTTACTTCAAATATTTCTATATTATTTGGGTTTGTTATAATCTGCATTATTACTTGTGAGATTAATTTTTTAAAACAAGGATTTAAAAAATTGGGGCTCCTAAATTAAAAAGGTTAAAAATCCAGATGTATGTAAAAATGAACTTGTGCCAGTAAAAGACAGTACATTATGTTGTAGGTTGTACAGGAAACACAAGGAACCCATCACCCTAGGTAATGGCAAAGCTGAAAATGGAAGCGGAAGAGTTTTAGAAACATTTGTACAGATGTCAGTGCTTTACATAGATTACCAAGGTAAAAATAACATTTCAGGAGATAACTTTTATAATTAATATTAAGGAGAACAACAAGATTCTTCCATGACATATTCCTTGATGTGAACTATTATGGTTTTATAAAAAAGAAAAGCTAAGGAATAATAAAAATAAAGTAATATTCATTCATCTAATAACCATTTATTCATCATGCACTATAAAATGACCGAAGTACTAGAGAATAAAAAAGAAAAACAAGACACGGCTACATCCCTCAGTTCTTTATCACGATGAAAAACCCCCCTGAATATTTGAGAAACAATTAGAAAATAAGTATAAAAAATTTATGTAAGGTCTAGGGTTATGTGAAAGCAAAATAACCAACTTGAGAAAAATGTACTTAATGAAGGTTTTTAGTAAGCGAACATTGATTTGGGCCTCAAGAGAAGTGGTGGACGTATGTAGAATACACATTGCTAAGATAGGAAATGCTTCAGTTTCCTCTGGTCAACCAACATCTCCTCCTATTTCTCCATTTCTGATAATATCAACCTATCAGATATTTCCAATCAGCAGAATCAATACCACTGTCTGGTTTACAGCTCCAGGGGACACCATGCACACTGAATTACATGTATGTAATAGTCCCTGAAACAGAAACTTTCTGCTCTAGAGATTATGTCATTACGCAAATCCATAGATTTCTCTGGATCCACCCCTTCCTTACCATTTTATCCCAAGAGCCTACTAGTTAATGCCTCTACTTTTAGACTCTCCTCCAATTCAACCAAATGCCAAATGAATCTTCTTTGAACATATCTGTGATAAGACACTTTCTGTTCAAAATTCTAATGGTTCCCCAGTGCCTTCTCAAATAAATGAAAACTCATCTAAATGGTTTTCAGGGCCCTATAAAATATGAATTTGATTTACCTTCCCAGTTTTTTCTCCTATTGCTTCTCCAAATATGATTAGTGTTCTAGACAGTTTGCAGAACAATCTTAATGCTTCCATCCCATCATGCACGTAAGTTTCTCCCTCCTGGTACAAATGAACCCCTCTCTAGTTGCTGCCCTAGACTCTGATTCCCTTCTTAGCCAGATTCCTTGAAGTCCACAATTGTCTTTCTTTCCTCACCTTCTACTCTCTCTGATCATGTCTTCCTTTACAAATTCCTCTTTTGGCTCTGAGTTACAACATAGTCCCTATTACTACTACTCAAAAAGAATTTTGGTGTTTTTTTAATGCATGCTGATATGACAGCTGTCACAATACAATCTAACACAAGTGTTTCGAATTAAGTTAAAGACAACTAAGTGCTACTAGAACCATCTTATGGAAAAAACCAAATGAACTTTTTGGCCAACCCAATATGTGGACCCCTTATAAGAAAACATTTCTAAATGCATAAATTAAAATATATAGGCTTCTAAAAAACCCAATTATACTGAAATATTAATATCAAATAATAAAAATAAATTTATAATAGCAATTTTGTATTTCTTTAGTAATACATTTAATGCAGGTCTAGTAATTACTATGCTTTTTGAAGTAGCTACATATAAAAATACTATTTCAAGATATCTGTAAAATTTTTAATATAATAGCCATGTTTTCTGTTAGGAAAAGTAGCATAGGTACATCTAAAATTACTGTGATTTAATACCTATATTCATAATTAAAGTAAACGTTACTTAGAAAACCTTATACTGGATTAATATTCTTCACCTTTCCTACCTCCACTGTCATCCCTCTACTTCAGAACAGTAATCACTCCTCTTCATCAAAGTGACTTATCTGATTTGTGAGTGTGAGAGAAAGAATGGAGCACACCCAGCCCAAACACTTCTAGGCTTCAATATTTTGGCTCTGTCTTCTGCAGGCTGTATGCGTTTAGGTGTAGCAGGCTTACCAAGGCTTTGCTCATTCAAAAGATAAGGCCTGAAATTTGGGGACTACACTTAATTTGGGGTGGGAGATGTAAGGAGCCCTTTTGATGAAGTGTTTTTCAATACACCTTCAATCAGAATCAAAACTATTATTTTTCACCTATGGTTGACTTATTCTACATATTATTTTTCTTCTGAATGCAAATTTCAAAGAAAAGAGTATTATTTACTAACCCAAAAAGCCCCAATGTTAACTAATCAAAGCAAGCCAACTTTTAGAAATCCCAGAGATTATTACCAAGCAGGGTCATAGCACTTATGTAAATAAAAATAATTTTTCACTAATGAAATGTCAATCTGTGGAAAAACTTTTCTTTTAATATTCTCAGATAATCATAAATAAATTTCAATCACAATTGGTATATTGTCTTTATAAATAATATGCAGTATTTATTTGTAAAGTATTTGCAAATCATATATCTAATATAAGGGGTAATACCTAAAACATATAAAGAACTCCTACAACTCAACAATAACAAAAAAAATCAAACATCCCAATTTAAAAATGGGCAAAGGACTTACAGAAATTTCCTCAAAGACAATATACAAATAACCAACAGGCACATAAAGAGATGCTCAGACCTGCACTCAGAAAACAAAACAACACTAAAGAAAGAAATTAAGGAAGACACAAATAAATGGAAGCATATACCATGGTCATAGATTGGAAGAATTAACATCATCAAAATGTCCATACTACCCAAAGCAATTTATAGATTTAATGCAATCCCTATTAAAATACCAATGACATATTTCACAGATATAGAACAAACATTTCAAAAATTTGTATGGGCCCATAAACGACCCCGAATAGCTGCAGCAATTTTGAGAAAGAAGAACAAAGTAGGAGGGAATCACAATACTTCACATCAAACTATATTACAAGGCTACTATAATCAAAACAATCTGGTACTGGCACAAGAACAGACACATAGATCAATGGAACAGAATAGAGGGCCCAGAAATAAATCCATGTCTCTATGGTCAATTAATACTTGACAAAGGGGGCAGAAGCCTAAAATGGAGAAAAAATAGCCTCTTCAACAAATGGTGCTGGGAGATCTGGACAGCTACATGCAAAAAAAATGAAGTTTGACCACCACCTTACACCATACACAAAAATAAACTCAGGATGGATAAAAGTTGCGACACCATAAAAGTTCTCGAGGAGAACACAGGCAAGAAACTCTCAGATATTCCACGCAGCAATATTTTCATTGATGTGTCCCCTAGAGCAAGGGACATAAAGGAAAGAATTAACAAATGGCACTTAGTCAAAATAAGAAGCTTCTGTATGGTTAAAGAAAACATCAGCAAAAAGAAAAGGGAACCAACCATATGGGAAAATATATTTGCCAATGATACCTCAGACAAGGGTTTAATCTCCAAAATATATAAAAAACTCACACAACTCCACTCCAGGGAGACAATCCAATTAACAAATGGGAAAAGACCCTGAACAGACACTTCTCCAAGGAGGACATACACAGGGCCCAGAGACATATGAAAGGATGTTCAGCATCACTAGCCATCAGAGAAATGCAAATTAAAACCACAATGAAATACCACTTCATACCAGTCAGAACGGCCATCATAAACAAATCAACAAACAAATGCTGGCAAGGTTGTGGAGAAAAAGGAAACCTAGTACACTCTTGGTAGGAATGCAAACTGGTGCAGCTACTGTGGAAAACAGTTTGGAATTTCCTCAAAAAGCTAAAAATGGAACTGCTGTTTGACCCGGCAATTCCACCGCTGGGATTATACCCTAAGAATTCCAAAACACCAATTCAAAAGAACCTATGCACCCCAATGTTCACAGCACTACAATTTACAATAGCCAAGTGCTGGAAGCAACTTAAGTGCCCATCAATAAGTGAGTGAATCAAAAAACTGGTACATTTACACAATGGAATACTATGCAGCAGAAAGAAAGATGAGCTGATACCCTTTGTGACAGCATGGATGGAACTGGAGAGCATTATGCTTAGCCAAATAAGCCAGGGGGTGAAAGACAAATACCATATGATCTCACCTACAAGTGGAACCTAATCACCAAAACAAACAAGCAAGAAAAATATAGCCAGCAACATTGAAAGAAAAAACAAACTGACAGTAGTGAGAGGGAAGGAGGTGGGGGTTAACGGGGAAAGGAAGGGGAAGGGTCAAATCAAGGAACATGTATAAAGGACCCATGGCCAAAGCCAAAGTGGGGAAGGATTGAGGGTGGGAAGTGGGGGGAGGCAGGGGAAAGTGGTCGTGGGAAAATGGAGACAAATGTATTTGAACAATAAAAAAGTTAAAAAATAATTTAAAAATAAAAAATAAAGAGATGCTCTTAATCATCAAGGAAATGCAAATCAAAACCACAGTGAAATATCACCTCACACCCATTAGGATGGCTACTATCAGAAAAATAGAAATAACAAATGTTGGTAAGGATGTGGAGAAATGGAACCTTGTACACTGCTGATGGGATTGTAAAATGATGTAACTACATGGAAAACAGTATGGAGATTCCTCAAAAAATTAAAAATAGAACTACCATATGATCCAGCAATCCCAGTTCTGGGTATATACCAAAAAAAAGCAGAAAGCAGGGTCTCAAAGAAGTATTTGCATACTCATGTTCATAGCAGGACTATTCACAATAGCCAAGATGTAGAAGCAACCCAAATATCCATCTACAGGTGAATGAGTAAAACAAAATGTCGTATACATGAATGGAATATTATTCTTGTCACATGCTACAATATGGATGAACCTTGAGGACATTAGGCAAAGTAAAATAAGCCAATTACAAAAAGACACATGTTGTATAATTCTATTTATATGAAGTATCCTAAAGTAGTTAAATCATAGAAGCAGAAAGTAGAATGGGAATTACCAGGGACTGGTGGGAGCGAGAAACGGAGAGTTGTTTCATGGGTAGAGTTTTGGATTTACAAGATGAGCAAGTTCTGGAGATCTGTCTCACAGTAATGTGAATATACTTAATACTACCAAGCTATACATACACTTAAAAATGGCTAAGATTGTAAATTTTATGTTATGTGCTTTCTACCACAATAATAAACAAATGGCAACTTAAACATAATGATCTGCAAGCTTTAAGCATTCATTTTGCATACAAGTGACTTGTCTGATAAAGAGACTGTTAAAAAACTACAAATTTCTGATGATAACACTTTCATCTTTCATCTAGAAAATAAAGAAGGAATATTCTGGTGTGAATTACAATTTCAGAAAAATAAATTAATATTCAGAACCTCATATATTGCTTTTTATTATATTTATTTTCATGCATCTTATTCACTGTGCAGGAAAACCCTGCCAAAAGAGAAATTTGGCCCTACCGCTGACTCCTGGGAGATAACTTCTAGGCCCTTGGCAGTCCGGTGTGACAAAAGCGTCTTTTTTTACCTGGGTTCATGCCTATAACCTATGCTAAATGATAAATCGCATTCTTGAAAGTATCCACCTATTACCATTAGGAAAGACAATTCTTTATAAATACAAATAGATCAAATAAATTACACTTACCTTTCTGTAACTCTGTATTTCAGCCATACTGAGCTCATTTTCATCTCTCCCAATAAATCCCTCCCCAAAATGAGCCATGTTTCTTTCTATCACAGGCCTTTGCATATGCGGATCTTCTACCTGGAATTCTCTTCCTTCTTCTGTTAACCTAGTTCACTCCTACCCACCCTTTAGGTCTCAACTCACAAGTATCTTTACATTAGAAAGCCTTTCTGAAAGATTTCTTCAATCAGATTCCATTTTTATATGTTCTCACAGCACCATTTACTTGTCCGTCACTTATCAAAGTTATAATTTTATTTTTGCGTGATTAACATCTGTCACCTCCATCAGGCTGTAAGTCACATAAGGTTAAAGACTGTGTGCCCACCAGTGTTCACCACTGCACCTCCAGCACCTAGCGCAATGTTTGGCCCTTGGAAGACATTCAATAGTTTTTGAACAAATGAATGAATCAGTAAATGTCACTTCACTGTATTATGCCTTTGTAAACTCCAGTTAGATTAAGAAAATATATAGATTTTGAGTTTTTATAAAGTTTTACAAATGTATCTTGAAACTATCTACCTATTACCATTAGAAAAGACAATTCTTTATAAATACAAATAGATCAAATAAAGTACACTTACCCTTCTATAATCATTGCAAGAGAACCCAATAAAATACTGTGAATCACATGATAAATTATTTCTGGCCTTTCTCCAATTCGTCCATCTTCAATAGTAAAAGTTTCTTTCAGGGACTCACCACTAGAGAAAGGAAATGTGATTTTTACTAAAATATATATTTGAAAAATCAAAGATCTTAAATTTCTTCATAGAAAGAAATATAGGTAGTTGTTAAAATTTGAAAGTATATTCTGCTGGTCAAATACTAACTTTTCTATCCCCAAGTCTTTGAAAGTGGCTTTTAGAACCTGAATGTCACTGACTCAAGGAAAACTAAAAATGAAAGTTCAGAAATATAATTAAAAAACATTTTAAGATCCTTTCTAAGATCAATTATCACTCAACTAGTAATTGCTAAATCAGTATAGATAAATCATAATCCAAACAACTAAGTTCTCAAAATCAAGATACTATATACAACCTTCTTTCAAACATGATAAACATATTTAAAATAGACAAATATTATAATTTAAAATCACGTATACTACTAGCTTCCTTGAGGTTAAATAGAAGAAATTTTTCTTATGTTAAAGTAAAAATCTGAGTAAATTAGTCAAAAAGTTTGTGAAAGTTTGACTGATTATTTAAATATTACTCCTAGACTAAATCTGGACATTACATGCTTAGCTATATGAACTTAAATTTAAATTTTATCTAATTAACTTATCATTATTAAGTTTTACATATTAATGAAGAGAAAGTAAAATTAGAAGCTCTAAAACAAATACACAAAATTGGAAGAATATTAAAAGAATTTTACATACTTTCATAAAATATTAGTAATGTGACTGATTTCATAGGTACTTACTTAGTTCTCTTAAAAATAACTTGCATCATAGAAAGAAAACAAATAATTAACACTAATAAATAGAAAGGTAATAAAGAAGATTGTGTCAATCGCAAAAAAAATTCTTGAGATGGTGACTGCAGGGATTCTTGACACAGGAGCCAATTCATTGTAAAATTCCTATAGAAGAAAAAAGCATACTAAAATAACAGGCGTTTTAAACTACTGACCATAAAAGTATTTTTATCTCAGTAGAAATTTAGATAAAACAAAGCACATTTCTCAAATCCATTCACTTATAACAGCTGGATCCTACCCTTAACAAATGAAGAAAGCAGCATTAGTAAACTCTCCTCAACAAACTGCTCTAATAAATGTAAAACTGCTGCTTTTTGTTACCAAATAATGTTACCATTTCTAGAGCCCAATACAGTTTTAAGGAAGTTTCACTTTCTATTTTTATCTGGAAGACAATAAAAAATTTAGCTGTCTAATGTCTACATCTGCACTGTCCAATATGTTAACTTTAGGGACATGTGGCTATTAGCACTTGAAATGTGGCCACTGCAAATGGAGATATACTTTAAGTACAAAATGCACCCTGGATTTCAAAGATAAAAGAGAATTTTTAAAAATCTCAATAATTTTTATATTGTTTATACATTAAAATAATATTTTTGATATATTGGATTAACTAAAATATATTATTAAAATTAAATTTACTTCTCTTTACTGTTTAATTGTGGCTATTAGAGAATTACATATGTGGTTCATGTTATTAGACAGCCCTGATTAACACTGATAAACATAACTCAACTGAGACCTCTTTTAAAAAGAGATATCTAATTACTAAGAGAGTAATCATAAAATTTGAAATGTAAAACTTTCAAGCTATAGGAATCAGGATAACCTTTTTTTACCCTAAGCTAAATATTAACAAGACTCCTCGGTATATGTCGTTTTATCTGCATTGTCACTCCCAATCCAACTGCAACCTCCATTTTATTCTTAATCCCTAGCCCTGGGGACAGAGGTAAGAGACGGAATGCTACTCAGGAGTGCTCACGGACTGATGGGCAATGCCCGCTTCCCAAACCACTAGAGTTAGAATGAAAGGTTCAAGTTTCACAATGTGTCAAACAACAAAACAGCTGCATCAAAGAGGCTGCCACTGAAATATCTTGTACCTACAACAAATGCATTCCTTTTTAAAATGTGCCTATTAAAGTTATTAATTCTATAAAGGTCCAATTCAAATCCCAATTTAACAAGTATTCTTTCTGTATCCCCCAGTCTCAACCTTTCCTTCCCAATATCCTCACAGCCCTTTACTTATCTCCCAATTATAGTTCTTAATGCAACCTGCCGTATGTTAGGTTGTAGTCATTTTTGTATCCCCCAGAGTATCTGGCCTACTATCCTGCACATCCAACGAATATTTATTAACATTTCTTTAGTGGTTCCTGAAAGTGTGTCTCAAAAAAAATGTTTCCTGAAATTCTGGTGAACTCCAAATCCTAATACCCAATTGGCACACTTAAGCATTAGGCATTTACCATTTATACCACCCATGTCATTAATGGTACCAAAACTATCTTATGAAATGGCAATATTCTTAAGGACAGGGACCATGTTTTAATCTTAAAACACATAGAGCATTACTTTGTGAAGTAAATCCAGTACCTGACATACAGAATAAAGGGGCACTACGTAACATCAGCTAAAAACATTGGACAAAGCAGCCCTTAATCCTAGGCTCGTTCTAGAGTCTTCCAAGGTTAAAGGGAAAGTTATTTTAAGAGGCAGACACTAATTAAGGCCTACAACTAATTTTTACTGATTGTCTGCTACGTGCCAAACCTACACATACTGTGAAAAAGACATGGTCTCTACCCTTATGGAAACATGGCCTTTTAAAGGAACCTATTATCTTAGATGTATATGTAAGACTTACTCTTCAAAAGATTTCTCCAGTGTTTAAACCATGTCAAATACTTTGTTAACTGTGATATATCACAACATGAAATTCCATGCACAGTATCTCAAATCCCATGTTATCATAGCAAATGATAATAAGGTTCTAAGGTATATTATATGAACTAAAGAAATGTGTAGGTAAAAATATATTTTCTGTTAGGCAAATAGACTCTTGTCAGTACCTAAAATCATGAATTTCATTTTAGGTTTTAAAAATGCATTTAACAAACCAAAAAACAGACAAAAAAAGGCACAACACTATTCTTGAATTTAAAAAGTCAGCTTCTTCTCCAATCCACTATTATAACCCCCAGATGAAATTCTTTGCCATGAAATAAATATCTTACTGCCTACCCCTCTTTGGGGGCCTATACCCTTTCTCATGTAAGCATTTTGCTGATGTAGTGGTTAAAATTACCTTGGTTCTTTATTCATTTTAAATCTTTCATTTATTCTGACCTTAGATGACATCATTTTTCCTCATCAAGGGAGAACGTAAGCTCAAAACACATTAATGCTATTGAGGTTTAAGTATATCTAATTTCTGAAAGACCTAAATGAGATTTTTTTAATGAGAGAAAACATTAGTGTCAGATTTCTTCTAGATATAATATCCCAATTATTTATTTTCCATGTGGTATTTAATTAGGTATATACTTCCTCCTTTCACTATTTTTGTTCTTTATCTTCTAAGTGGTATGGAGTTAGATAAACTTACATAATCTAAAACTTACTTAGTCATATTTAGTCCAAATTTTACTTCAAGGAATTTCAGCATGTGCCCATTTTCTTTGTGTGGAACAAACATCTGGAGGGAAAAAAGAACGATTAGCTATACTTACAATATGCTAGTGTCCAATATTACAAACAGAAAACAGCACGACTACAAAACAAAAGATATGAATGAAATAATACAGAGTGTAATGGTGAAGCAAAGAAATCTATCGGCGTAAGTCCATCACATTACCCTATACTCAAGTATAAAACTATAATGGAGTAATAAGAAGATTTCAACTTTATCCCACTTGGGTTAAGTAATTTACCCACTCTTCTGAACATCTTTGACTCATCTCAATTTATTCCACAATATTAATTGCATAATATTGACATTTTAAATTAGATGGAAAATAAAGTAGATATATTTTTAAAGTATATCTAGAAAAGAATCATAACCCAATTTTCTCACTTAATATGCTAGGCATCATCACTGGTCAACTAAAAATTTTACTATACAAATTCTGTTTTCTTGTTAACTCATTATTCTCATTAAAATTTAATTTACTAGCCCTGGTCGGGCACCTCCGTTGGTTAGAGCATCATCCTGATATGCCAAAGCTGTGATTTGATCTCTGGTTAGGACACACACAAGAAGCAACCAAGGAATGCATAAATAAGTGAAACAACAAACTGATGTTTGTTTCTCTCCCTTTCTCTAAAATCAATAAATATAATTTTAAAAAAACAAAATGGCTTCCATCCCTTTATCACCTTTAAAATATAAAAAATAAAATTTAGTCCACTATCCACTGTGTGAATCTCAGACACAGAGTTACTTACCTTAATTATAATATTCAATGTCACTGTCAGAGCACACACCAAATAAAAATTAATAACTTTCATTATTTTAGCAACAAAAGTTCCTTTCTTCACATTTATCTGTGGGGGGGGGGAATCAAATGAACAATGAAGTAAGGTATAAAAAATTAACAATTTAAAAATTCACCATAAGAATAATAAAAAGGCAGTTCTGATTACCTGAAGGTACTTAACAAACATTAAGGCTACTATTAAACTTAATAAAGGAGATACCAATAAAGCTGAATTCTCAAACTGCAGTAAATATCCCAGAAAGAGAGAAAATATATAGATTTTATAAACTTCATGAACCTGTTGGTACAAAAAAAAATGAATAAGGATAAAATGAACTTTACTGTACCTATTTTCATTAGTTTTATTTAGAATAGATTTGACTACAATTACAAGGTAAATGCTCTACTATAATTTAGTGTATTGTGCATACCTTCAACCCATTTTTTTAATGTTATAATATGTAATTAATTTATCATTTCCTTCTTAGAAAGAATGCCTGCAAATAAAGCTAAAAACTTTAAAATGATGGATGTCTAAATCAGACTGCGAGAACCTTCTGTAGTCCCAGGCTCTGGCTTATTTCACTTAGCTTACCTTGTTATTAAATCCAAAATCATAATCTTTTGCAGTAGTTCCCAAAATCTACCCAGTGAAAATGCAAAGTCTGTCCGGAAAAAGTCCAGCCATTGTTAATATAATGGAAGCGGTTTGTGCAACATCGATGTAACCTGGCAGCGAAGGAAAGTGAACTGGAATGCATATGCATCAACAGTAACAACTTAACTGTACTAGGTACTGGGAGAGGTAGACACTGCTGGGTGAGCACGTGTACTGTGTGGTCATCACATTCAAAATGACTAAGGTAGTAGAGCAACAAATCTGCAACAAATTTTGCATTAAACTTGAACACTCCTCAGCAGAAACTATTTGGATGATTCAGAAGGATTTGGGGGACGATACAATGAGTGCAGCACAAATAAAAGTGTGGCACAGATGATTCAAAGATGGTAGAGAATCTGTTGGAAGTGATTCACATTCAGGAAGGACTGCAACAAGCAGAACACCTGAGAATGTTGGCAGTGTACGGGCTGCAATCAACAAAGATCGGCGACTGACAGTGTGAGAACTAGAAGCTGATCCGGGGATTGATTCCAAAAACTACTGTGTCGCAGGATCTTGGCATGAAATGTTTTGAGGCAAAAATCATTTCCACAGCTCTGCTAACAGAGCAGAAGGAACATTGTGCTGCAGTTGCTAATGACTTGATTCAAACTGCTACCAATCAACCAGATTTCCTCAAGGCCATAACTGGAGGTGAATCATGGGTCTATGGCTGTGATCCAGAAACGATGGCTCAGCAGCGTCCCAGTGGAAGTCCCCTGGTTCTCCACACCCAAGGAAAGCGGGGCAAAGTTGTTGCAAGATCAAGACCAATGTTAACTGTGTTTTTTTATTGGGAAGGTGTCCATCATGAGTACATCCCTCTAGGCCAAATAATTAATAAAGAGTACTACCTCAATATTCTTCATTGGTTGAGAGATGCAATACAACGATATTGGCCACACCTATGGGCAACTGGTGATAAGTAGCTTCATCATGACAACACACCCGCTCAGGCATCACGTATCATGCAGAGTGTTTTGGAGAAACATCACATCACCCAGGTGACTCAGCCCCCTCTACAGCCCGGATTTGGTGCCCTGCAACTTCTGCCTTTCCCAAAACTAAAATTGCCTCTGAAAGGGAAGAGATTTCAGAACTTCAATGAGATTTAGGAAAATACAATGAGGCAGCTGAGTGGGATTCCAACAAAGGATTTTGCAAAGTGTTTTGAACAGTAGAAGAGACAGTGGGAGAACAGTGTGAGCTCCCAAGGTGCCTACTTTGAAGGGGTCTGAGGCACCATTGTCCTATTTACAATGTTTCTTGTAACTTTAAGAAATGTCTCCACTTTTCCTAGTACATGGATGGATACTTTCCGGACAGACCATTCTTAAACTGCCATGAGATGTAGCACCAGAGAAAAGTACTTTTGTATTTGCTCCATTTAACAATAAGCATAAGGAAATTAAATCCAATATCTTAATAGATCTCCCAGGAAAGTTATGTCTTAGTAGACTTATTTTTCTAAAACAGTATAATAACTTATTCTATCATGAAGTTAATTCATTTTAGAAAGGGAAAATTAAGACAAAGCATAGGTATTAGCAGGAAAAATCAAAGGCAGAGTGTTAAAAGCAAAAAAATAAAAACCAAAAGGCAGAAAGAAAAAAAAAAATCCCTAAGCGGCCAGACCATTAAAAAATAAAAATAAAAAGATATCTCACTGTTTGGAGGCTGAAGCAATGACTGGGAGAGGGCACAATGGGATCTTCTGGGTGCTCATAATATCCTTCTTCTTCTTCTTTTTTTATTTTTGGATGCTGGTTCTACAGTTATTGAGTAATTGTCTCTTAGTTCCAAATTTAATCTTTTACCCCTGCCTCATAAAGCTGGGGCTGGTACTATGAAATCTACCTTTCTGTTTTTCTGGTTGGCTCCCTATTAAGCCCTGTTGATAGAAATGTAAGAGAGACTACAAGGGTGGAGAGAAAGAAGGAACTTGTTCCTTCCTAGCGCTTCCTGTCTGCTTGCAGTTCAGGTAAGCATCACCTCAGCGATACTTCTTCACTCTAACTGAGCAATTCCCTCCTGCTGAAGGAAGCCACTGCATGACACTGAAGTTCCTCCAACCCCTGAAGAACCAGCATTATTGCATCCTTTTGCCCCACAGAACAGCTCCAGTCTCAGAGGTCTGGATCTTATTTCCACAGGGTCCTTCTTTCCTTTTCAGAAACACCAACAAAGCTGAGTAGTGGCCCCTCTTCAGAGTCTGAGTTTCAGCTCCACAGGGTTCCTCCTCTATGTTTAAGTTTGAGTAATTCCAAATTCTTCCTTTGTTTCCTCAGGTCTAGGGCAGTAACTGTTTTCTGCAGTTGCTACCTCTGTGATATTTTCAGGTTCTTATTACCCTTTAATTAGCAAGTGAATGACTTTGTACTTGGGTCATGATTCTTTATATCAAAATTTCTCTATTCCAATAAAATAAATGTTGGTACTCATCAGGATTTTGGACCAGATGAGTATATGCGATGAGGAAAAAGAGGACAGCAAGAAGATTCTTAAAATCTAGCTTGGATAACATATTAAATACTTAATAAAAATTTAAAATTAAAAAAAAAGATATGAAGTGCCAAAAAATAAAAAGAGACAGAAACAGAAGGAACCAAATGCTGATGGGAACTTTTAACAACCTCTGTTAATAGTATAAACTGATGTAGCCATTAGGTTGAAAGGTTTGGTATCTAGTTAGGTTGCATATGCACATATCCTTTGACTGGTAATTTGTTATCAGGCATATCCTCTAGAGAAATCTTGCACTTACATGCCACATCACATGTATAAGAATGCTTATAACAGCACATGAACAATAAACTGAAAAAAAACTAAAATGTCGACAATAGAATGAATAGATACAAATGAATGAGATATAGCTCAGCACATCACCATGGATGAATCTCAAAAGCAAATCAGGCAAAAGTACACAACACACTATCTACAAGATATTTTTTAGAAAATGCATAGGTTGGTGGTAAAAACCACAATGAAAAAGAGGAAAGAACTAAAAAGATTCAGGATAGTTAGCCTATGGTTGGGGAAGGAACTGGATGTGACTGGCGAAGAGTTAAAAAGGGGCTTCTAGGGTATTCAAATGCTCTACTTCTTGGCCTGGGTGGTCAAATACTCATATTTTATTCTAGTACTGCATGTACAGCCTACATATACTCTTTCATACATGTCCTGTATTTCACTTTTCTTTCTTTTTTAAACAAACAAAAATGGAAGAAGGAGAAATGGCGAGAAATACAGAGGAAGCTCAGGGTGACTTTGGTTAAGCAGATCGTGTTTAAAGGAATTTCAAAGTTATAAAAAGGATAGAGGAGATGAATTTAGCAATCTTTTGAGAAGTGTAAATCAGAACCTATTAAAATATTTTAAAATGAAGCTTAAAAGCTAAATGGTTTTAAGATACAACACTATAAAAACATGTATTCCCTGGATTTAAAAATCGCAGTTTCCAAATGCCATAATACCTTGTCACTTAGCTTCAATGAGAAACTATTGAGCAAGAACAGAGATATTGCTTGAAGGAACAAGAGGTAGTGGCTGTACTCCCACATCATCATAAACGTGTAAGTTGAAGCACTCATCAACAAGTAGCAAAACCTCTAGGGAAAACAAAAGAAAGAAACTAAATATGAATAGCTTTATTACTGTAAAAATCTATGAAATTGTTACTTCAAAGTAGCAGCTGTTATTGGTTCAACTTTAAGCTAATTCTTGAAAATCTGTTTTAAAATAACATAATTAGCAAATCCTAACAGAAACAGTAAGATCTTAAAGCACTCTAGAGAGAAATCAATGATGTCCTTCAAAGTTCAACATCATATTGAGAATTGCAGGAAGACAAAGGAAAAAATAAAATAAAATTCAGTACAATTTCCTTTCATCCTCAAAGAGGTAAATTAATAAATATAAGAAAATTGTGGCCTTTACTAGATTTGGCTCTGGTGGGCTTCTGTTATTGTGAAATTAACTTCCATCACCCAAGAAAATATTTTCACTTCCATGGTGCTTTATATTTTCCTAAGAGCTTCCATTTTATTAGTGTGTTTAAATCACAGTCTATTGTACAGCCCATGGAAAAAGTCCACTGGTTTTTAAATTTCTTCTCAGCAAAAGTGTAGCCTTACCTTTCCCCAATGCTTGTACTGTCAACCATATAAAACTCTTAGTTGTCTTCCTCTGCTGAAGAACTAAACACAGGGTTTCATTGCCCCAATATGCCTGGCTAAAATCAATTGTCCTTCCAAATGTCACCTCCAAGTGATCCCGTAGTGAGAAACTAAGCCTGTGAGAAATCCACCGTCTCTTGGCATATTTCTAACACCAGTCTTTACTTCTTCCAGGGATCTACATTTTTATTTCCAATTCCTCCATCTGCAATGGTGTCAAATGACTTTGCTCTCTTAAGAACAGTGAACGAAGTCAAGTCAAGAAGCCAAACCTAAGAATCATGTTCTCTAAAACTGGAAAGGTTTAGTCAGACTCAGCTGACTATACTCAGTGATAAATTCCAGGGTCAGAAATACCTCAGGCCATCAGCAGATATGATTTTTCCAGCATCCTGAATAAGATTAAGACCAGAAAACGAATTGTAAGAGATGGAAAATTTCCACCAATTGGAAGAATACCAACTGCAAGGCCCAGGAGGACTCAGCACTGTAGAAAACATAAGCTTCTGTGCTTCCTATTACAACAGCTAAAAGAGAAAGTGTTCTGAAAATCTCTTTTTTCCCCCCTAAAGATTATACTTATTTATAGAGAGGGGAAGGGAAGGCGAGAGGGAGAGAAACTTCAATGTGTGGTTGCCTTTCATGCACCCCCTACCAAGGACCTGGCCTGCAACCTAGGCATGTGCCCTGACTGGGAATCAAATCTATGACCCTTTGGTTTGCATGCTGGTGCTCAATCCACCAAGCCACATCAGCCAGAGAGTTCTGGAAATCTTCCAGTGTGGAACAACCAGAACTTCAATAACCAGGCCTGAAACCATCATCCCCAAAGAATTCAGTAATAGAAACCAATGAAGACTCAGGTGCAGACTCAGCCTAACTAACCTACTGGGCATTTGGAGAATATTTGGGGGATGTTGGACAAAAGCTACACTGAATGAAGCCCTCACTAATTCCAAGGGTTTATTCTCAAACTACATAGAGCACACAGTGAAAGTAAGATAGAAATACATGTAAAACATAATCTGGACAATTAGCTAAGTTTTTCCTTTCTCTAAACATTTTCAAAATTCTGTGCACTCTTGTCTACTAACCCTTACCTTGTTCACTTCACTTTCAATTAGGCCTTTATTATGAACCTTTTTATATATATAACTTGAGTGACACATTACATGGGTTTCAGTAATCAACCACAGGTGTCTCTGGATGGCTCCAGATAACTGCACAAAAGATCTGAGCCTGGATATCCTGATGTGACTGGGACCATGCCTCAAGAATACAAAGTATGTGATTAAAATATACATGTTGCTGGAATAAAAAGCAATAAACTCAGCAATAAAGAGAAGCACACTCCTGATACATGCAACATCTTGAATGGATATTAAGGGCATTAGGCTGAGAAGAAAAAAAAGCCAATCTCAAAGGATACCATACTATATAATTCCATTTATATAAGCTCTCTAAGTGACAAAGTGACAAAACTACAATGATAGAGATCAGATCAGTGGTTGCCAGAGGTCAGGACTGAGGGAAAGGTGTGACTTAAGAAGTAACATAGGGAGTTTCTTTGTAGTGATGGAATAGTTCTTTTTTTTTTTTTAATCCTCCTCCAAGGACATGTTTATTGATTTTAAAAAGATAGAAACACTGATGTGAGAGAGAAACATCAATCAGTTGGTTGCCTCCTGTATTTACCCTGACCAGGGATCAGCCTGCAGCCTAGATATGTGCTTTGACCAAGGATTGAACCCACAAGCCTCTGGTGTATGCGCCGATGCCTCAACCCAGCTGGGTTGAGCCACCCAGCCAGGGCATGAAGGAACAGTTCTATATCTTGATTATGATGACGGTTACTTGAATCTACACATGTAATAAAAATTCATACAACTATACATCCTCCTTACTCCAAAAAAGGAGTACATGTAAAGAAATTAGGATAGAATATAATTCTAAATACATATATACATAGTTTAAAATTCATAAGAATTTGCAAAAATAGTATAGTGAATTCCCTTACCCAGGTTCCCCCAATGACAGTATCTTACATGATCATAATACAGTATCAAAACCAGGAAACTGACATTGATAAAATTCTATTAATTCAGATAGAGCCCTTCTTTAGATTTAAACACACACACACACACACACACACACACACACACACGTACACACAGTATGGTAGGGGACAAACATAACTGAAGGATTGGGCTGTTTTGGTTTTTAAAAAACTGAAATTAAGCTGAAGGGTCAAGAATACACTATGGTTGCCCTGACCAGGTAGCTCATTTGGTTGGAGCATTGTCCAGATGTACCAGGGTTGTGGGTTCGATCGCTAATCAGGGCACATACAGGAATCAACCAAAAAATGAATATGAGAGGGAACAAAAAAAAAATCCAGAATTTATTTGTAAAAAATTGTGTTTTTATTCTTACATGTTTAAAGTTCATTCACCTTCAAAGTACTCTCCATCTGATGTAATACACCTATTGAGACATTTTTTTCCACTACTGAAAACAGTTTTTAAACTCATCAATTTTGATGCCCTTTAGTGCTTCTGTTGTTTTTTTGTTTCAACTCTTACACATCTGAAAAATGTTTCCCTTTAAAGGCTTTTTTCATCCAGGGAAACAAAAAAATAATTGTTTGGGGTGAGATCGGGTGAATAGGGAGGGCGGGGCATGGGGGTCATGTCATTTTTTGGCCCAAAAACCGAACATTCAGCATGGTGTGGGCAGGTGTGCTCATAAATCAGCCATCGTGAAATGGGCAAACATGTGGAGAAAGTCTTCACACAAAATTCACTGAAGCCAAATGCAGCCTCTCCCAACAATGCCAGCTGGTGCACTGGTACAGAGAGGTTCCTAGTGGGTGAAGCCGGAACTACAAGGGGCCCACCCTCCAGAAGACAGTTCCATTTTTGGGGGGTCCCCCTTCATAAATAAGTGGAACAAAAATTTTATAAAAAGAATATACCATGATTAATTTCCTTTTTTTCCTGCCATTTTTGAAAATAAAATTCTTAATGTCACTCCTTTAATATTGGTATATACATATTTTGCTCTTGTTGCGTACTGCTGAGTACCACCAGATGAGTGGCTAGTTATAAATAATCAAACAACTGACAAAAACAATTTTCCCCCTTTACCTTAATATTAACAGAGAAAGAAATTGGGCGGGGGGGTGGAGAAGAAGGGAGAATGTTATGAGTACTTTGAAAATAGAGGAAGATAATTGTGGTCAAATAAAAAAGGAGAAGCTAAATAAGAGTAAAATCTATTCTTGGATCCCTTCAAAAAGTACAGGATTCTTAGTATACAATGAACTGGATGGAAATACACTTTTTGTCTCTATATCCACTAGCACCTACAATATTTTTTTACCATATGTGTAATGTGTATGTATTACTTTTTTATTTTAAAAGAAGTTAGAATAAAAACATATTAGAAAAAATAAATATAAAACATGGCAATGAAGAGAGATGGCAAAATATCAAATACAGTATAGAAGGGAAAAAATTAGTATACATTCCACTATCTTTTCCAAAACTCCTTTTTTAAAATAAATAATGATTTTATTAAAAAGATGATTAGGCCTTTTTTAGAAAACTTAAATTTTGTTTTATTTCAAAATAATGGTATACACAAAGAAGCTTAGGCAGTTCATTTTACTATAATGAACTCTTTTATTCGGAAATGGAAGAACCTATTTTCCCTAGGAGAAAACTGCACAACCTAACAGGAGAACACTAAAGCACAGACTCCCTGACTATAGGAGAAAATATTCTTGCTCAGAAAGTTCTTTATACAAACACAACAAAAGGAAACTTACAAATCTAAAATGTGATATTTCCTTTACATAAAAAGGGAAATACTAGAGTTATAAAAATGAAATCAAAAGTTTGCTATGCTCAGAACATTTGTCATCACTGAAAATTGGAGAGAACAGTACATTTTTCTGAGATTTCCAAAAGAAACCATAAGTACATCTTATTTCCCAGCCAACTGGGTTCCATAGATGCCTTTCCTTGATCCCTGTGATCTTTACCTAGCTAGGAATTCTTAACCCCAGACAGGCAGACCATCAAAAGATTGCTACGTTTCAGTTACTTTAGATATAATTGGTTGCCTTTATAGTAACTTACTTTATGCATTTAAAATCATTATTCTGAGACAGAGTCTGTAAGCTTTATATTACTCCCAAAAGCGTTTATAGCAGCAACAACAACAAAAAAAGAAAAAAAGAAAAAAATCTAAACTATCTGGGACAGTCTCCTGAAACTACCTATACCTCAGTCACAGGAAACATAAAGGTAAACAGAAATATATGCAGTGCTACCATAAAAGTTTACATTGCTGTCATTTATAGTCACTCTTTATATTTCACTAATATTTCTTTAACTTGTGATGACTTAAGACCATCAATGTTCCAGAACTGAAAGAAATGGTAAAATAACACTGAGTAATTTTCAAAATAAGATATTGTTCTTGTATTTGTCAAATAACTGCACTAAAACAATACATCTCCTTTCTCCTAAAAATATTTTACTGTCAGATTGCAGAAGAACAATGTTATTTATAACAAGACTACCTAACTATATCCTTTATTATGTAGTAACTAGGCTTCATTGACTTTAACTCAGTATGATTAGCTTTAAAATTATGTACCAGATTTGTAGTATGTCAGAATTGTGAGAAATAAATTTGTATCTTCCCCCCCAAAATTATCTGTATGATTAATGAAAATAAATTAAACTTGTGGCAGAAAAAAAAATTGTATCTTACCTCTCCATAAGCATTTAAGTTGCTTTTTAAATAGCCTGTAAGTGCAGCAACTTGGCATGCAAAATATGGTAGTGCCCAGTTTTCTCTTAAAGGAATGGAGTATTCAATTCTTGTTGTATCTACCCTAAAATAAACCATAGATGAAGAGCAAAGAGCAAGACATTACATTTGTGTAACACTATATTTTTCAAAGCACTTTCACACACATCTCATTGTTCTCCATAACATCCTGTGACATAGGAATAGACACAACCAACCACTGCCTAAACAGCATCTTGGAACAAATTAATCGTGTCTTACCTGCAGCCCCTCAGAAGACTTAGTGCTGTTGCACATTCTTGATAAATTGATGGGCCTCTGAGAGCATTTGGGGGGGGGGGGCGCGGAAAGGCATCTCTGCTGTGGCAGATAGAGCCTCATGCTAACAGCACACAGTTCACTGCAGAATATACTGGATTTCAGCACCCACCCTCCCTTCCCTTAACAAGATGGTTACCCTCCTCTACAGCACAATGTACACTATTCATAGTTAGCAGGTCTGGAAGATCCACAGTTTTCATACTCCTTATATAAGGAACATAAAGTGTATAAAGGAACCTAGTAACAGTATTAGATCTTAATTCTGTAATGAACTATTTTTTACTTAACAATATATTATGAGCATCTTTCCATAATATACATATACACACATGCCAATAAATATACTTCAAGAACACTTGATGAATATGGCACACCACTGCACAGATCTATCAAAATCTAGCCAATTCCTTCTTGTTAAATACTTACTTTGTGTCTGACTTTACCTATTACAAAGTTTTTTTAAATATCTGAATGAATGTTTTTGTATAGTAATCACTGGTTTCACTGTTTCATTAAATCCATTTGGAATTTATTTTAGTATGCATGTAATAAGCATTTCTGTTCCAGATTTGGTTGCTCTGATACCATTTATTGATTATCATGTATTCAAAAGGCCACCTATTTCATACAATTTTATTTCTGAAAAATTGTTGTGAAAGTTAACTTCCTAAAAGACAAATAAGAGACTCACCTGTCATAGTCAGGAAGTGGAGGGAAGGAGAGGATGCCTAGCATCAATTCAGGACTCTGCCAACCACCCCATCAGCCCAGGACTGGGAAGCTTAACCCAGCAATTCCTGTTGCAAAGGTTCACACACTGCCCCTACCGATTTCACAGATCAGTGGAGTGGAATCTTGAAAACTCTGGTCCAGAAACACTCTTTGGAGAAAGGGATGAAGGGATCCTTCTCCTCTAGTCACTATAGCACAAAGTAGAATCTCTGCTAATTATTCTCTACACCTGGACAAGCCTCCTCACTGCTACCTTCCTGAAAACCTCTGCCATTCACACTCTTTTCCCTCGTCCTGCTTGGGGGTAATGAGGACCAGAAGGCTAACAACGGGATGTGACAAAATCAAATGAGACCCACTTTTTCTCCCCAGTGACAGAGTCTAACAGATAGCAGCACAAGCCAGCAGTTCAAAATAATACTTGTTAGGTCAAATGAGGTTCACAGACCTGCAGATACATTGGCAGAGATTGGCACGCTCTGAGTTTAATTGTGTTTGTATTTTAAACACATCATAGTCTAAGCATAATCTAAATTACCTCGATGTAATTTACTTTGTAACTCATTATTGCCAAAAGATCTCAGGACTCACTTTCATGTTTGTATTAACAATATAGTTGGCAACATAATACTACTTCAACTGGCTTGGGTTAATCAGAAAAAAAAGAGATGGTCTTAATGATGTATTCCAAATAAAAACAATGTCCTGATCACCACAGTAAAAAAAGATTTCACAGTGGACTGAACAGGTCAACATTATGACAACTGAGTCATCTCATGGTACCCAAATGTGTAGGTTTATCATATTCAAAAGAACCTGCTGGACTGATACCATGTGTACACTGACAGTAGAAATTTGGCTTCTGCAAAATATCCAGTAATATTTTATTGTTTTGTTATTTCACTAGTAAAGTTGCTTCAACAGTAGTATAAATGCTTTTAAGCATAGGAGCTTTACCTAGTTTTATATGTAAGAAACATTATAAATTAAATTATTTAAGCCAACAAATAGAATCCAAAAGAAGTTTTAAATATACATAATTGAACTTTGAGAAACATTGAGTTAGATTACACAAGTAAAACAGTTTGGCCTGTCAACATATGTGAGAAAGTTGAAAAACACCTATATAATAAATATATAATATATAATATCAGTAAAACTTCTAATGCCTGAATGTTCCCTTCCACTGATGTATTACAATGTACCTAACCAATCTCTTATTTTTAAGTGGTTTTCTAATTTTTCATATTATTACAAATAATACAATAATCAGTAAGATCAAGCAGTAACGTTTCCCCTTATTTTTTGGATGACTTCCTAGGAATAGAATAAAATTTTGAAAACCTATCGCCTAAAATTGAATAAACATACACCTCCATGGAGCACCCTGAGTATGCCAATATCATCACAACAAAACCAGCACCTCGTGTTACCAATATTTTCTGTTAACTGTAGCTCTAGGATATGTGCATTCACTACATCTTACCTATTTATTATTACTAATGTTCATAGTTTCCTTTTATTTTTATTTATTTTTTTTTTGCCAGAGGTTAAATATAGTATAGACTTTTAATTATATCATTTCTTGGCCTTTTGGCTAAGATCAAGTGTAGACTTTTAATCATACATATTTTATTTGCTTGTCAAATATAAAGGTGTTTCCAGTGAAAGTGAGACCCAGGCATCTATTGGCAGATGAGAAGATCGGTGGGGACAAAGAACAATTTCCATATTGCTTTTATGTGAACTGGATTCAAGTTAGCCTACTTTAATGATAAATCTGTTCAAAAAAAGTCATCTGTCTCTGACTGCCCCTACCACTATTGTCTGTACATGCTGCTTCCTGAAATGCCCTTGAATTTTCTAGTATGCCTACATCCTTTGGTTTGAACAAACAGGAGCTAGTTTACAACTGTTTTCCCCTTTTGAGGTTAATAAACAAGTAACACAAAATACCATTAAGAACACTACTAATGATCATAATATAATAGAATGACTAAAATTTTTTATACTTTTCTAAGCAATCACATATAAACTGTAAAGCTGATGAATAAAAAGGAGAGAGTGTATTCTTTCATGGTATTACAATATATTTTGCAATAAAGTTGACCTTTGAACAATGCAGGGGTTAGGGCGCAGACCCAGCACAGCTGAAAATCCACACATAACTTTTGACTCCCCAAAGACTTATGTTGCACCTTGGTATCTGCAAGGGATTGGTTCCTGGACACCTCTCCCCCATGGATACCAAAATCTAAGGATGCTCAAGTCACTTATATAAAATGGCATAGAATAATGCATACTATTAGCCCTCCACATCCACTGATTCTCAGCCATGGATTGAAAATAAACTGTTTTCAACCCAAGGTTGGCCAGAGCAATGGATGAGAAACCTGGGATGAGCAGGGCTAACTGTAGAGTTATTGCAAAAAATCCACATATAAGTGGACCCATGCAGATTGAATCCTGTTGTTCAAAGGTCAACTGTATAAAATACATACCAATAAAAAAATAAACAAAATGCAAAACAAAGCTGGGCAGAGGGGGGCAGGGGGCAAAGTGGGGGACATCTGTAGTAGTGCCAACAAAAAAAAAAATTGCAATCAAATTCTTTTCCACTGTTAAAAACTGTCATTTTACAGTAATGAATAATGAATTGACAATCATTTAAAAAATGCAAAACAGCAAGGGAAAGTGGTGGGGGGTAGGCAGAGACAAATGTATCTGAAAAAATAAATTAAAATAAAATTTAAAAAAATGCAAAACAAACACATTTTTTAAAAGCTACTTTCTTAGAATGTTTCAATTGCCAAAAGATACATTGTAGCAGAACAGATCAGGTTAATTTTTCTACCTAACTTCTGCTCCAGATAGCTAGGATATACTGTGTCATTAAATAAGACAATTTCTTTATAATTCTCACTAAGTTCTCTAAAGTGTTTGACAGGGAGTCTTATTATTCTTCAATGCTGTTATTTTTACAGGGAAAAGTTGCTTGGGCTTTCTCTTCAAATTTATGATTAAGATAAGTCTAGGGTTTAAATGAAATCAATATTAAAAGTTCGCTGCGTGTGGTAGCGATCCTCCGAGATGGCCCACAATGGTCCCTACCCCCGGATATGAACACCCGGTGTTGTCACTCCCACGCTGCACTAGTCAGTCCTTGTCATGAATAGTACAGGAGTTGGCAAAAGTAGGTTTACTGTTCTGAGTACACGAAGCACAGTTTATTCTTGATTATTATTTATTCTTGTACTATATATTTTTCCACATGAACAACTGTAAACCTCCTTTCGCCCAGCCCTGTATATGGCAGAGTGACGGCATATCATTTCTGAGATTAGGTTATAAAATATACCTGGCTTCCACTATGGCACACTCAGTGCACACCCTCTTGGATCATGCACTCTAAAGGAAGCCAGCAGCCACGCTGTGAACAGTCGTGCGGACAGGCACAGTTGGTGAGAACCTAAGGCCTTCTAGGCCAACAGCCGGCAAAAAAGTGAGGCTTCTCCTAAGCAGTATCCTTGGAAGTAAATGACTCGTGCCAAACTGTCAGATGACTGCAGCCCCAGCCAACTCCTGGCTGTAACCTCCTAGGAGACCCTGAACCTTAATCACCCAGCTAAATCACTCCAGCCCTCTGACCCTCAGAAGCTGTGTGAGATACTGTTTGTTGTTTTAAACTGTTACCTTTTGGGATGATTTGTTATACAGCAATAACTAATACATTATCAAGAAAGCAATCCTTTTAGGTCTATATTAAAAATAATTCTTGTTTTGTAGTAAATACCATTTCACTTTAAAAAGCAGGACTTTCTACATCTAGTCTGAGTACTGAGATAACTTTCTGTGAGTAGGTTGTTGAATTTCTAATAATGAATCCTAACAGAATTGTAGAAAAGTACATGGCAACTTGAAATATTCTCTAACAAGCACTTTCTGACATAACAAGAAATCATCTTATCACCTTAGCACCCACACCACATTCTCTAATACTACTATTATTTTTTTTTCTTTTTCTAATACTATTCTATTAACAGCAACCAGAGCTCTACAGAGAAATGGCTAATTTCAAATCTTTCACAGGGAATTACAAGATGAGCCTGCTTGTTGAGCCAAAAAACAAGAAAGCTTTCAAAGACTAATGAAGGTGTGTCCAAAACAACCAAACTCAGAAGCCAGCCTGAAAGGACTCCTATTGATGAACATTGTGACAATTTGAGCAGCAACAACAACAAACAATGATGGTAATGGATTTAGTTCTATTGAGTCAATAAAAATCCCAAGTAGACAAAGATATTTAAAAAGAGAACACCAGAAAAAGTTTCTTATCACTGTTGAAGTCAGCTACTAAGACAACCCCTTACTTAGAAATTGGTAATTAAAGTTAAGCATTTTGTCTGACTTGTTAATAGTTAAGAGAATTTCTTTAAAAATTTTTTTTCTTTAATCGATTCCAGGGAGAGAAGCAGGGAGTAAAAAGAGAAGGAGGGAAACATCGATTGGTTGCCTCTTGCACGGGCCCCAACTGGGGACCAAAGCTGTAACCCAGGCATGCACCCCGACTGGGAATCGAACCTGTTACCTTTTGATTTGCGGAATGATACCCAACCAGCTGAGCCACGCTAGCCAGGGCTAATAGTAACTAAATTTAAAGATAACTAAACAACCCTGTTTAATAAAGAAAAATTCTACCTTTGAAGAATGAAGAATGCAACTAATGAAAACAGAAAAATATAATTTTATAAACCTGAGTGGAATCACTAATTCCAAGAAAGATTACTAACTGGAGCCATGACCCTTAAGTAACTAGTTAATAATGAAAAGGAAATTCATTTGGTGCCCCAAATCACCACACAGATTCTCTTCCTGTCTTAAGAGGAAAACGCGACCGCTCAGTGGAGAAATCAGACTGCCATCCCCTGAGCCAGCGGCTGTCTCAGCCTCACGCGGGGTAGGCCAGCTGAATACCATGTACTTCTAATGTCACGGGACATAAAACAACACAGCATCTATGATATATTCTAACCACAAATGTTTACCTTGAACCCATCAAGCCTTTAAATACAACTTCTAGTTTGTGGAAACACAAGGAATAAGGCATAAAGCTAGATAATGCTACAAGGAAACGAGAAATCCACACGGTGTGCTATTCTGTGGCACAGCTGATTCAGTCCCTTCAACAATCCATTGTCACAAAAAAAGGGACTATGCTGGATTTAAAGAGATTTAGGGAACATAACAATCACATGTAATATGTGATCCTGGATTACATACTTGTTTGAATAAACTAACTATGTAGGGTATTTTGGGATCAATGGAGGAAATTGTAATATGGACTGGGTATTAAGTAAGATAAACTGAAATGAACAGGTAGCGATTGCCAAATAAAGCAGCACATAAAACAGTATGTGCAATATATATCATTTTGGCAAAAAATATATATATATACAAATACATGCATATACATACATATTCATATAGAAAAAGACCCCAAAAGAATAGGCACCAAGGTAGAAAAAATGCTGAATGATCTCTAGATGGTGGGAATGTGAAGTTACTATTTTATTTTTGCTGGTTTTAATTTTCCACAATATACACATATCGCTTTTGTAATAATAAAGTTTGGTTCATCCCTGTAATTTTTTTTTGAAGATTTTATTTACTTATTTTTAGAGAGAGAGGGGAAGGGAGGGAAAAAGAATGGTAGAGAAATATCAACCGGTGGCCTCTCGCACCCACCACAAACTGGAATTGATCTGGCGCACCCTGCACCTTGCAGGACAACACCCAACCAACAGATGCCGAACCCGGGAATCGTCTCTGTATTTTAGAGAAGAAATATACTTGCCCATAAACTGAGTATCTATACTTGAAAACTTTTAAGATTTAAAAAATTCTTTATATCAAATTGTTGCCAGCATGTGACTCTAAATACAAACAAGATCCAGTAAGAGATTTTAATAGCCTTTAATGCTTAATCTCAATAACTTCAAAGTATGAGGTGGGACACAAAAAAACCAAATTATATTCTTGAGGGCGGGGCTTCTCATTATAGGCTTCCTCCTCTAGGTGAGTGTTCTAGGATTTTTTTTTTTTTGTTTCCCCAGATGAAAAAAGTCCTCCAAGGGAAATGTTTTGCTGATGTGGAAGAGGTGAAACAAAAAATGGCAGAAGCACTAAAAGGCATCAAAATCAGTGAGTTCAAAACTGTTTTGAACAGTGAAAAAAATGTCTTGATAGGTGTCCTGCACCAAATGGAGAGCACTTTAAAGGTGGCCAAAGTTTAAACATCTAAAAATAAATACCCAATGTTTTATTAAAAATTCCAGGGGTTTTTGGGTCCCCCCTAGTACTATCATATTTTTCATTTGGCAACTGCTGAAAGAAATCTGTAACAAAAATGAGGTTTCATTTTGAATCATTTAATCATATTATGTATTATGGGGGGAGATATTATGAGAAGGAAGGAGAATGCCATCATTCAAAGAATAAATTTTTGACAGTGACCAATGTCGAGAATATTTTTATGACATGTTTCAAACCATCCTGCTATTTCAAAGAGGCCCTGTCCCTTACTAAAGAACTAAGGCTGGCCCTGGCCAGGTAGCTCAATGGGTTAGAGCATTGTTTCAATACACCAACGTTGTGGGTTCAATCCCTGGTCAGGGCACATACAAAAACCAACTAATGAATACATAAATAAATGGAACAACAAATTGATGTTTCTCTCTCTGTCTCTCTGTCTTCCTCCCTCCTGCTTCCTCTCTCTCAAATCAATAATTAAAACATAAATTTTTTAAAAAAACTGAGGTTGCTTTGATCACCAAAAAGATGGATTTATCAATTCAAAGCATACTATCATAGATTAGCATTGAATCATTATCTGTGGTGGTGAACTTAATAGTAATGTATCTGATGCCTCTTCTTCTTATAAAGCTTATGTTGTCAATCTTAAAATAAAAGAGGAAAGAAGAGGTATATCTACATACGCCAATGTCATTATGTCTAAAAAACGAGAGATACAAGGTGGGTATATTATGTTCCATTTGCTGCATAACAAATGACCACAAATGTAGTGGTTTAAAACAGCACAGATTTATTAGCTCACAAACCCAGCAGAGTATGGCTGGATTCTCTGCTCAGAGGTTCTTAAGCTAAAATCTGAAGCATCAACTAGAGCTATAGTTCTTATGCAGTCTTTTTATGAGCTCGTTGGTTATTGAGAGAAGTAATTTCCTTCTCACTTCAATCCAGCAACAGAACAGCAAACTCTTCTCCTTTGAATATCTCTCATTTCCCCTTCTGCACATGGTAGAGAAAGCTGTCCACTTTTAAGGACTTATACCATTAGATCAGGCCCACTGGGTAATCTTCCTACCTTAAGGTCAACTGTGCCATGTAAAATACTATAATCACAGGATAGTATCTCATTATATTCCCAGGTGGGAATTAGTGTAGGGAATAATGGGGATAGTGCAGGGAACATTTTTAGAATTGTCTACCACAGACACAAAAAGTTGTAAAACTTAGTTTAAAACATCTCTCTTACCTGTTAATAATGAACCATGCAACAGTAAGCATTCCTGCTAGCCAGGTTCCACTCATAAGCCAACTTGTAACAAATAAAGCAGTAACATATATTCCTTGCAATCCAAAAACAATACCAATATAGAAATATACTGGCTCAATCATCTCCTAATTGAGAAAAAACAGAAAGAGGAGATAATGGGATGACATTAGTAATTTTAAGGATTCTTTAGTATGTGAGATAATAAATGTTATAGTCAAAAGAAAAAACACATACATTGCTACCGGTTGCTTGATATAAAGCGCTGGCTATAAGTTCTGGATATAGAGACATTTGTTGCACTGCATTTATAGTCTTCAGAGATACAGTTTTGTTATTATGTGTCAGCTCATAAACACCTAAATATAGAAAAATATTTCTCTAGATTATTTATTCTGCTTTTACAATAACTAAACATGTTATTCAAAAGTCATTTCATATTTTAAATTATCAAGTAAAATCTCAAAATAATACTGTGTCTCATTTTTCCAATTTTATTAAGTACAAGAAAGAGTAATGCCTATATTCTAATACCAATCTCCACATTCGAAGGTTCCCACATAAAAGAATATTTTATTTTAAAATTTTTATTTATTTATTTTTAGAGAGAGGGGAAGGGAGGGAGAAAGAGAGGGAGAGAAACATCGATGTGAGAGAGAAACCTTGATTAGTTGCCTCTCACATGCACCCCAACGGGGGACTGAACCTGCACCCCAGGCATGTGCCCTGACTGGGAATCAAACCAGCAACCTCTGGCTCTGTGGGACAACACCCAGCCAACTGAGCCACATCAGTAAGGGCGAATGTTTTGTTTTAGAAAAATATTGTTATTAAAAATCCAAATGTAGTAATCATACCTCTTTCAAATGAAGGTGCCTTTAACATATCTTTATAATAAGAGTAATAAATGGCACTGTCACCCTGGAATGTGATTTCCCGCTCAAGTTCCTAAAAGAAAATACAACAATTATTTAAATACCAGTGTCCTAAATTTCAACTGCTCTATTTTTTCTTTCTCATCCTCTAAACTAATGCTATTTATTTATCCCTTTATTCACAGATGTGTTTGAATTTTCCTTTATTTACTAGTGGCCAATTATTAATGAGGTTAAACTTTTTAATCTTCTGGAAATCATTTTAATAAAACATCTAAGGTTTAAGATGAATTGTAACTCATTAAGTCATTTACCTATTATATACAAGGAAAATCTAGAAGGAAACCAAAAGAAATACCCTAAGGACAGCAAAAATAATAAGGCAGAAAATAAAAATTAATGGTTGAGGCACATTAGTCCAAAATAAAAAGATATGTTTAAGAAGAAAGTAGTATTTTCTCTTGCTATTGCACTTCCCTATGTATCCAGAACAGCAAGCCATTATTTAGTACTTCTCAAGAACAGCAGATACTTAATCAGTACTTTTCAAATGATCTTCCCAGGAACAGAAATCTTAAAATCCAGAAAATTAGGCTATACAGAACCAAGAATGTGGGTAGTCAAAAACATGAGGAAACTTTGTGCTTTCCTGCTCAATCAGGTTTTCATAAATCTATAATCTTTTAGAGAGGTCCAAGATGGCAGCGGTATAGGACACTGAACTTCCACAAGCAAACTCTTAGCATACATGTATACAGAGAGTAATTATTCCTGTGAGACAACTGAGGACTCAGTGAACAGCTTCTGAACAAGATAAAGAGATGAAAAGAGAAGGCTAGGAAACCCTAGATACCAGTGAGTGCCAGTGAGGTCCCCGTCCACCTCCACAGAATGGGTGGGTGCTCTAGCCAGGTGCTGCGGCCTGCCTACAAGGTTGCTGTAACACGTTCCCCCAAACATCACCACAACCCATTCTGGCCTCTGACAAAGGGAGCTGCGCCTGCTCCGTAGGACACTGCCCTGGACACTGAGCTCCTGTTCGGGTCCTACCAGCCTGCCAAAATAATGTGGCGCACACAGCCTACAGAGTCCACGTCTATGGAAAGTGGACATAAATGAATCTAGAGTGCTATGCTAAGTAAAATAAGTCAGAAAGAGAAAGACAAATACTGTATGATTTAGCTTATTTGTGGAATCTAAAAAAAATAAATGATAAACAGAAACAGACCCAGAGACAGAGAACAAAAGGATGGTTGCCAAAGGGGAGGAGGTTGGGGAGATGGAATACAATTTATTTATTTTCATGGATAATACTTATAAATTAATACCAAAACAAAAGCTACAAGAGCAGTTTCCCCAAAGTTTGATCACTAGAACTTCCTAAGATATAAATGGATGTTACCTAAAAAGAGTTCTACAGTTAGAGAAATTGTACGAAAGTCTATATTAAACAAAGTTAAGTGGGTTTCTTTGCAAGGCTTTTCAGAGTTTCAGTATATATTATGCACCATGACCAGTGAACCCTTTTTTTCTCATTTAGACTATATTAATCTAAATAAATTTCCTTAAGATGATTTATGAATGAAGACAGATTTGTTTCTAAGATCTCAAAGATGTAAACTCTTAATCAGTGCTTCTCAAATTTAATGTGCATAAGAAACTCCTATAGATCTTATTGAAATGTAAATTCTGATCATTAAACAGCGCTGAGAGTCTGCAATTCTGAACAAGCTCCTAGATGATACCAGTGCTCCTGGCTCACACACAGTGCTTTAAAAACAAGGTTCTTGATGAATGCCCTCTGTATTTTTCTTTGTCTCCCTTTCTTTCCCCTTCCCCTTTTCCTTCCCTTCCTTCTTTCTTTTGTGTGTGTATGTTTGTGCATGAGAATAAAGTAAGTTTATTCTGGTAGAGAAAAAGAAAGAGGCAAGGGCACAGGCACAGCTGAGACAGAAGCAAAAAGTGTGTGTCCAAGTGGAGGTGGGACAACTCGAGAGTGACTTGCATCTCCCTCTATGTTTTCAAACCTCTAGCTGTTCTCAATGCTGCCTACACACGGAATTGCTTAGAAATATTTAGTTCAATACTGATCCCAAACACTCCCTGCCGCCTCATCTCCACTTACAAATCCACGAGGGAATTATTTTTCGAAAGCTCCCAGATGATTCTATTGTACATTCACTACTGAGAACTACTAATAGTTAATCTGCATAACATTTTTAAGGAAATAGAATATGCCATAGTATTCAATAATAAATTCTGTCCAACACAGGTAATTTTTCAGTTAAATGTTTTGGTCGTACTGGGTAAATCAATGGCTTAAAAACATTAATCAGCTGATTACTTGCTCAAAAAGAAGAAGAGCAAAACAATTTGGGCTAAAACAAGAAGCCTTCAGAGCCAAGTGGTAATGCCATGAACTTTGCCACCATGTAATACAGATATATATGCTTATGAAGGAAAGTTGAAAACAAACTTATCAAAGCCCAGATGAATTATGAATTACAGTGACTAAAGAGTCTGTGTGGAGCATACAATGATTTAAAACCAAACATTTAACATGCTAATATGACGCAACATCTTTTTTTATAAGCTTTTATTTATTGACTTCAGAGAAAGGGAGGGAGGGGGAGATGAAGAGGAAGGGAGGGGGAGAAGGAGAGAGAGAGAGAGGGAGGGAGAGAGAGAGACATCAATTTGTTGTTCCACTTATTTATGTATTCATTGGTTGAGTTTTGTATGTGCCCTGATGAAACCCACAATCTTGCATATCGGGATGATGCTCTAATCAACTGACCTACCTGGCAAGGTCAAGGTAACATTTTAATAAATACTATTTTGCTTGTTAATCATCCCTGCCCCTCTCCCATTCTAATTATGTAATCTAAAAATACAGGGTCCAGCAGAAGTAACATCAGTGAGTGTGGTTGGTAGGGTACATGAATGTCTTGCACAATATGGGCAATAATTTGAACATTTCACCGAAAATGTCATATGGTATGCTTGAGTGTGATAGTTATGTTATGGAATTACATGTTTATGAAGTTATAATAAAAGATTTTTGTATAATAAAAAAGGGCATTATTTGTGCTAGACCTTCTATATTTTGATGTTGAAATTTTCACAGATTGTTTCTGAAGATTAAAAAGCAAACTAAACTCCGTATCATTTTGCTGTCACCAAAAGTCCCTGATAAATTCATTGCACAAAGGAAAGCACCCTCATAGTCGTTATTCTATTGCCTTAACATATATTCTATTAAAATTCTCAAAGTTCAAACTGTAAGTGTTCCCAAAACAGTTTTTATACCATTTTGTTTCTAATGGCTGTAAATGAGAAAGCGCTTGTCATATTTATCAAACACAGATTTTGGCTCCTTGGAAAGCACATTATTTAAATTAATATTAAATACTAAAATGACTTTCATATGCTCAAAAATCTTTCTTCTTACCTGCCTGTTGGAAAACCAGAATTTCCGCTCATGGTATGCTGACAAATAGAGAGCATACATCATTCCACTAGTAACTGCAGCAAGACAGCCAATGAAAATCTTTGCAAAGCGATGAAATAATACATCTGAAAAAGCATATTAAAAGGAATCAGATGCAGGTGATATTTATATTTAAAACCTTCTATTAAAAAAGAAAAAGTAATCCAAAGGTGGTATGTAGTCTTGATATGACATATTGAAAATTTCATTCTAACTCTGTGGTCTTCCTCCCCAAAACCCATAGTCTAAGTTTCTGGGGAAAGCAGCAGACAAACTCCAACAGAGCGGCATCCTGCAAGATAGCTGACCACTCCTCCTCAAACTACGAAGGTCCTTAAATACAAGGAGAGCCTGAGGAACTGTTACAGTCAAGAAAAGTCTAAGGAGACATGACAACTAAATGTTGTATAGTATCCTGAATGAGATCCTGGACCAGGAAAAGGACATTAAGTTAAAACTAAAGAAATCTGAATAAAATATGGACTTTAGTTTAAAATAATGTATCAATATTGGTTCATTAATTGTAACAATTATAACAACTGTAACAATTGTAACAAATTATAACAATATCATAATACTAATATTAAATAATAAAAACTCTCTGTGTGTGGTGGGGGGCGGTGACATTAGAACTATGTACTGTCTGCTCATTTCTTCTTTAAATGGAACATATTTTTAAAGTTAAAGTCTATTCATTTAAAAGAGGAGTAAATGGAATGTACTACCAAATATCTAAAGAAAAACAGGCCCTGGCTGGTGTGGTTCAGTGGACTGAGTGCTGGCCTGTGAACTGAAAGGTCGCTGGTTTGATTCCCAGTCAGGGCACATGCCTGCGTTGAGGGCCGGGTCCCCAGTTGAGGGTGTGTGAGAGGCAACTGATCGAAGTGTCTCTCATACATCGATGTTTCTCTCCTTTTCTTTCTCCCTTCCTTCCCATCTATCTAAAAATAAATAAATAATTTCTTTTTTAAAAAAAAAGGTAAAGAGAAATAGGTTCATTCAGAATTACTACTGATTTTTTTTCCTTATCAAAGAATTTTTTCTTTATTAAGGAAGAATTTACATACTACAAACTATAGCCATTTAAAATGTACAACTCAATGACTTTTGATGATTATATGTTTAAAACATTATATACAACTGCTTTGTATACGTAACAAATTCTTGATGAAATGACAAAAAACATTTGGTTTTTTACATACAGGAGGATTTGGTCTTGCTATAGGTATTAAATATAAACATGGGCCTAAGGGCCCAAAGCCCAGTGTTCTGTTACTGAATGACTGAGAGTTTATAAAAATCAACTTGTTTACTTATTAGTTTAGCTAAACTAAAATCTTAGCTATTTTTAAGACATTATTTTAGAAGTGTTAGTTTGTACAGTATACAAGAGACATTAAAGACTAGTTAGGTATCACTAAATTAATAGGAATTATATTCAAAATGCTTGAAAAACACTACCACATAAATAAAATTAAAATTTTATTTATAATTTATTTTTATAAAATTAAAATTTTATTTATAATTTATATTTTATAAAATTAATAAAATTTATTATATTATTCATATAATAAAATTGTTTTAAAATTACTGTTCCCAATAGCATGTGTAAAGCATCTGGCCTGGCAGATAGTAAGAGCTCAGGAAAAAACAATAAGAAAACTTATTTGTGGTGGCAGTCTGGCAAAAGTTCTTCAAAGTTTCTAAACATGGATCTTCTCCTGTTTTTTCTTTCATTAAGTCTTACACAATAGCAAAGCTATCCTAATTATCAAGTGCTATTAGAAAATATATATTCAGCCCTGGCTGGTGTGGATCAGTGGATTGAGCACTGGCCTGCAAACCAACAGGTCGCTGGTTCGATTCCCAGTCAGGGGCACATGCCTGGGCTGCAGGCCAGGTCCCTGGATGGGGGCACACTAGAGGCAACCACACATTGATGTTTCTCTCTCTTTTTCTCCCTTCCCCTTTCTCTAAAAATAAATAAATAAAATCTTTAATATATATATATATATAGTCAACCAAATCTTATATGGACACTCCCTTTCTTATAATGTTTCTACCTACAATTTCTTGACTTTAAAATGGTGATATGCATTCCGTAGAAACCACACTTCAAATTTTGTATGTGATCTTTTCCAGGGCTACAGTTATGTGGTACAAGATTCTCTTGCTACATTGGGCAGTAGCAAGAGAGCCACAGCTCCCAGTCAGGCACATGTTCGTGAGGGTAAACAACTGATACTCTACAGTATAGTATTAAATGCATTTTCTAGTTATGATATTTTCAACTTAAGATGGGTTTACGGGATATAACCTCATTGTAAGCTGAGGAACATCTCTATTTAAATGCCTTACATTAATACTAAATATTTTTTTCTGAAAGTTTTTTGTAAAGAGTAAAAGATAGAATCAAGTTATCAGTGTTCAACATAAGTGTGTATAGTTTAGAGAAAATAAAGAGCTCTGGCCCTGCAAATTATTGCCTTAAAAATTATCATTTTAATTGGAAAACTGAAAAGTAAACAATCTGACTTCTAATTCAGTTACGTTATTCATAAACCATCCTAACCAGATAATTTCTGTGTACTCTAGTACCTTCATTTGTAAAATGTTGATCATGCACAAAAAAAAGAAAAGAAAAAGAACACTACATAAATATCAATGTCAATAATATAGGGCATAGTTAAGTAATATTTAAAGCACAAGAAAAAGCTAATGACATGTTAAGAAAAGATATGTAGGATTCAATTTTACAAAACATAAAAGCATATTAAAAAAATATCAGTAATACCAAAATTTTAAGAGTACTTATATCTATTGGAATTATTCATTCATTTATTTATTTTTTAAAATTTTATTGTTCAAATACAGTTGTACTGATTTTCCCCCCCGTTGCTCTACCCTGCCCCGCCCTTCTCCCCACTCCCACAATCTCCACCCTGTAGTCCACGTCTATGTGTCCCTTATACATGTTATTCATATACTTTTTATTATATGTTTCTCTATTTTCCACATTTTCTATCCTAAACACATTTTTGCAGTCATAGTTAAAATACTATTTCATAGTAGTTATATCTGGATTGTTTAATGTTCTTTCTTAACCTGTTTTTTTCCCAAATGTGTTAAATGATCACTCCATTAGTTAAGCTTTACTGTGATTAAAAAAAAGTGACCCCAAACTGTCAGTGGCTTAGAGAACAAAGGTTTCTTTTTCACTCTTGTTACTTATAGGTTTCAGGTCAGTGGTAATTTTCCACCCATTTCCAAGACTTCAAATTTGTTGTGCCTCTTCTACTTGTAACTTCTTCAGAGTTCCAAACTGGGGTCAGTCCTTATTTGGGACACATTGTTCTCATGACAGAGGAAAAGAGGAAAACAGGCAGAATCATACAGTGCCTCTAACAGTTTCTGGTCAGGACTAGTACATTCCTACTTCCCCTCACACTCTTTCTCAGCCCAGACAACTCTCACTGATAAGCCTGACAACGGGGTAGGAAAATACTATCTGCTTGAGACACTCCAAATCACATGGCAATGGGAAGGAATGTATAATCCACTTTTAGGGTTGGGAGCAAATTTTTGGGAGCAATACCACCAGGGTCTGCCTCATTAATCACAGACATTCACGTCCCTCCCAAATGCCAAACACACTCTCTCCTTCTCAACAAAGATACTTCCCTGAGTGCCTGCTTCCTGAATGAAGAAAGTAAGGGACTTATATATCATTTTAGGACCTGAATAGCCGTGTCTTTTTTCATCTAGGCTGGCAGTTCTTTTGACAGTATGTGTCACTCAAAATCTCAGCTGACAACTCTCCTAGGTGTTTACTTAACTTGCAGGTGTGTCCAACCCACGGCCCGCATGCGGTCCAGGATGGCTATGAATACGGCAGAACACAAAATCGTAAATTTACTTAAAACCTTTTTTTGTTCATAAGTTTTTGTTAGTGTTTGTGAATTTAATGTGTGGCCCAAGACAACTCTTCTTCCAGTGTGGCCCAGAGATGCCAAAAGGTTAGACACCCCTGAAAGAGATATAAAAACAGATGCCCACAAAAAGATTATATGTTCACAGCAGTGTTTTTCATACTAAATTAATATTGGAAACTACTCAAATGTGCAAGAAAAAGAGAAGAGATAGGCATTTATAGCAATATGAATGAATCTCAAAATCATTATACAGGTTAACATATTAAGCTAAGTGAAAGAATCCAGACACACAAAAAAAGTATACATGTCATATAATTCCATTTATGTGAAATTATAGACATGCAACGTTAATGAATATTGAAAAATATCAGAAGAGTGGTTGTCTTGGGGGTTACAGAGGAAACCTACTGGAAAAAGATACAAAGGAACTTTCTGGGATAAATAGAAGTGTTCTGTATCTTTTTTCAGCTGTATTCAAGGGTCAGATCTCATTTTATTAAGTGCCTAAGATTCTGTGCATGTTACTGTATGTCAATTACCCTTGATTTAAAAAAAAATAAATCACTCCTTTTTGCAAATAAAAGAAAAACTCTGTTTTTATTTATCTGATTCTAGTCAGCTTCATATTCCAATAACTATACCCACAATTTTTTTCTACATATGCTTCTCTCAAGCATTTAACTACATGTATTTTGAGTTTATCAAGCTTCTGTGGGACCATGCCTTCTGTTCTTTTTCCCTGAGCATTTTATCCAACTTATTATTCATACACTTGAATAAACTGTGTGAAAGCCATGCCCTTGATTTGGTCATTGTGCTGGTAATTCATCTTACACAGCCTTTGTTACTCCAAGTATTTCCCACTTTTATTTTTTTTTACTGGTTAAAAAAGACATACAGTTCCAATTTCAATACTATGAGTCTCCAAAATTTTAGATTCTCTAACTTTTCTTTTCATTCCTGCTTGTAAATAGGTCAAGTCTATTCTAAATTCATCCCTTTCCTGTGATCAAATGCAGCTGATAAACAAGACACTTTAAAAACATTGTATCTTGCAACATTGTTACCTAAAATAATAAGAAGTTAGTATTAAGCCAACTATTCAGAGGAAAGTTTTATAAAATGTTTTGTTACTACATAATATGGATTATTATTTTTCCAGCTTCCAAAAAAGTTTTCTCCCTGCTAGCCCCGGAATTAAATCTGTAGATGATTTATTGCCTTTATCTTATTTAAGAAAATATATACAAATGGTCCCTCAACTCTGTAGGGGCAGGAAGCAGTTTGAGAAAGCTCTTCAACTCTTGATGGCATATTCTCCAAAGCCATCTTCAGATACGTACAGTTCAGGAAGATAATGGAAAAGGAAGACGCTCTAAAGAGTGGAGCCACAGAGAACAATAAACTGTGAAACTGCTCCCAGGGAAAACAGTTGGGGCCTAATCAAGAAACAGTCCCTACCTCCCAGGAAGGAGACCTCATATTTGCCTAGTAGGATTTCAGAATTGCTGTGGACAACTGGCTGATATGCATTCCCCTCTTCCTCCTTCTGAATGAAAGGATTTATTATGGTCATCCTGTCCCAGTCCAACAACATGAAATGGGAAAGGGGGCATGAGCAGAAAAGAATGACAAAGCAGGCCTGCAACTGCTTTGCTAAGAAAGGCCTGCTTGCCCGGGCTGGGTGGCTCAGTTGGCTGGAACATTGCTCCATACACCAAAAGGCTGCAGGTTGGATCCCTGGCCAGGGCACAGACCTAGGTTGCAGGTTTGATCCCTGGCCAGGGCATGTATCAGAGGCAACCAATCAATAACATATACTCAGGTGAAGATTAAAAAGAAAACAAAAAAAATTTTTTAAAGAGATCACCATAACTTTAAAAAAAGGAAAGAAAAGAAAGGCCTGCTTTCAAGGTAGGCTCTTGGTTGGCATTTGGCAACTTGGATTTCAGGAGGGTTCCTACCATTCACTAACTGATAAGAGTGGTTTACTCTGCACAATGTGGTTCATGCTACTGCTTTTCTTCTCAGAGTCTAGAATTTTGGTATGTAGTAGGCAGAAGGTAAATGACCAGCTGCCAATAAAAACCCTGAGCAGAGTCACTAATGAGCTTCTCTGGTAGACAAAATTACCAACAGTAAAATGTGAAAAGCTGAAAGAATTAAGTACGTCCTGTGTGTCTCTATTTGGAGAGGAGTCTTGGAAGCTTGCGCTGAGTTCCTTGCAGACTCCAGCACATAAGCCTTTTCTCTTGCTGATTTTGTTTTGTATTGGTTCACTGTAATAAATCACATCTGTGTTAATAATCATAGATGTGAATGACTCTATTCTGATACCTATGAGTTCTACTAATCTCAGAACATGGAGGTGGTCTTGGGGATCCATGACAAAGAGCTGGTAACTTGTTACTTTAATAGGTTGCTGGATCAGAATGAGTCATAGCAAACCCTGATATAGATAAGAAGGCCTTGAGCTTCAAGACTGATACTATAACTTGAGATTGAGTGCTTTCCTTGGAGTAGCAAGGGTGACGAATGTACCTCGTCTGAGAGAGAGAAGGAAATATTTATGACCAAAAAGACAGAATGTGCTAGATTGCTATCATTGTCCTTTCCTATAAAAGGATTACTCATCTCTGCCCACCACCTTGTGACTTGCCATGCTTCCCTGTAGTCAGAGTATAATTCTCCATTCCATTTTCTGAACTGATTATATGACCTGCTTGGGCCAATAGACTATGAATACAAGTGTTGGTGTGCCGGTCTGGCAGAAACTTTAAGAGGCACTGCATGGTCCTGGCCAGGTAGCTCAGTTGGTTGGAGCATTATCCCAATGTATCAAGGTTACGGGTTCGATTCCTGGTCAAGGTACATACAAGAATCAGCCAATGAGTGCATGGATGAGTGTGGTACAAGTTGTTTCTCTCTCTCTCTCCCTCCCCCTCCTCTATAAGATCAATTAAAAAAATTTTTTTAAGTTTAAAAAAAATCAAGATTCTGTAGTGTATTTAAAATATTCTTTCATTAAAAAAAAAAACACTTGATTAAAAAAAGAGGCACTACATGACTCTGCCTGCTCTCCTGCTTTTCTCCTTGGCCTCAAGAAACACATGTCCCATTCAGGGGCTGTTCCCTTGTGACACATAAAGCTCCACCAGCCAACCTGCAGTCACACGTGTAGTATTAATCATAAATAAGTGTTGTAAATGAGAGAGATTGAGAGGTTCTACAGTAAAATCTAATGAAAATCAACTGGTATCACCACATCTTAATTAGGAAATATGTTCATACATTTAAAATGTTAATATAAAATATATCGCCTAACACAACTGTATTTTTGCAGTACCATTAAAACTCCACCCAATCTATCCAACTTACATTTTGGAGCTCTTTCAGGAAGTGAAGTATCATCAATTTTCTCTTCTTTGGCAGCTTCTTTATTTTCTGAAGACTTTGGTCTTTTTCTTTGGCGCAGTTCTATAGTTGGCCCTTAAAATATTTGAAAAGTTATTGCAACATGTATCAAATTACTGCCTTTATCCCAAATGATTAACTTTTATTATACTAAGGCAAAAGTCACACAAAGACCGATCAGTACCCAAGATAACTTTTTAACTATTTTGGCACTCGCCACAAAGCCATCTTTCCTGCAAACAAAAAGGCAATATAGGTTCTGCCTCCAGCTTGTGCTTTCAGAGCCCTGTGGATAAACTAATGAGCTCTTCTCCTGAGATGACACTAATCTCCCAAAATTAGTAAGTTCTTTCTGTAATGATTGAAAAAAACAAACTGTTATGTAATAAATTAGCTTATTATTCTAGTTACCTACTAGTTACATGCAGAATTCATGGATTAACAATTTTTTAAATCAAAATATAAAATACATGCATCATATAACTATCTTTTAATTGTTAACGCTATTACAGCGGCCCCCATTTTCCCTCCATCGGTCCCCTCCACCTATCCCCCACCCCCAGCCCTCACCACATTGTCGCCTGTGTCCATGGGCTATGCCTATACGCATGTATGTTCTTTGGCTAATGTCTTCCCCTCTCACACTGTCCTCCCCTCTGAGATCTGTCAGTCTGTTCCACATATCCATGCCTCTGGTTTTATTTTGTTCATCAGTTTATTTTGTTCATTAGATTCCACATCATACTAGGCATGGGAAACAAAGGAAAAAATGAAAAAATGGGACTATATCAAACTAAAAAGCTCTACAGAGCAAAAGAAACCAACAAAATGAAAATAAAACCCACTGTATGAGAGAACATAGTCATCAATGATACATCTAATAAGGGGTTAATTCCCAAAATATACAAAGAACTTACATGTGGTGAGGGGTTAGGGGAGGAGAGGAATCGAGGAAAAGGGAATAAGAACTCATGGCCATGGACAACTGTGTGGTAACTGTGGGCGGTGGGGCGGGGAGAGGGGGCGGGCAGAGGTGGAAGGGGGGGCATGAATGGTAACAGAGCAAAATACAATAGAAAATGAACTATTAAAAAAAAAGAGCTTATACGACTCAACACCAAAAAGACAAATAGCCCAATTTATAAATGGGCAAAGTGCCCTTGTCAGTGTGGCTAAATTGTTTGGAGCATCATCCCATATACCAAAAGGTCAAGGGTTTGATTCCTGGTCAGGGCCCATGCCTGAATTGCAGTTCAATTCCCAGTCAGCGTGCATACAAAAGAAAAACCCATCAATATTTCTCTCTCACATCAATGGGGTTTTTTTTCTCTCTCTCCAATCAACAAGCATGTCTTCAGGTGAGGATATAAAAAAAAGTGGGCCAAGGGGCTAGCTAGACACTTTTCCAAAGAGGACATACAAATTGGCCAACAGACATATGAAAACAATGAACAATGTCACTAAACATCAGAGAGATGAATATTAAAACTACAATGAGGTATCACCTCACACCTGCCAGAATGACTACCATCAACAAATCAACAAACAAGTGCTGGTGAGGATGTGAAAAAAACGGAACCCTAGTGCACTGCTGGCGGGAATGCGGACTGATGCAGCCACTGTGGAAAGCTGTGTAGAGTTTCCTCAAAAAACTAAAAATCAAACTGCCATTTCACCCAGCAATCCCACTTCTGGGAATATATCCTGAAAATCCTGAACACCATTCAGAAAGAGTGTATATACCACTATGTTCATAGCAGCATTATTTACAATAGCCAAGATCTGGAAACAGCCCAAGTGTCCATAAGTAGATGAGTAGATAAGATGTGGTACATTTATATAATGGAATACTACATAGCTCTAACAAAGAAGGAACTCTTACCCTTTGCAATAGCATAGATGACCTGGAGAATATTATGCTAAATGAAATAGACCAGTCAGAGGAAGACAAATACCGTATGATCTTACTCATATGCTCCATTTTTTAAATAATCCTTAAAGTTCTGCAGAATTTCACACTGCTGTGGTATCGTTATCATTCAATAGTCTTATTAGTTTAAGTAGGCTGAGCCCTGACCAGTGTGGCTCAGTTGGTTGGGCATCATCCCACAAAGTGAAAGGTCACCAGTTCAATTCCCAGTCAGGGCACATTCCCCGGGGTTGGGTTGTGGGTTCAGTCCCTGGATGAGGTGTGTACAAGGGGCAACCGATTGATGTTTCTTTCCCTCTCTTCCCCTCTCTAAAAATAATTTTTTTTTAAAAAAAAGAAATAGGCTGAACCTATAAACATCCCTATACTTGGGAAATCTCAGAAAACTCCCCAGTATTAGACTATCTACCCTTTATATAACCAATACAAAAAATAAAATGCAGGAAGTACCTTCAAACGGGTAGACTAAATCCCAAATTAAACAGGAAATTACAATATTAAATGTAATTACTTTTCCTCATAATTATCTCATGAGGTAGTTTTTGTTGTTATGTAGTTACAGAGTACCCTGTCAAGTTTATAAGGTGCTACAAGAACTTACTCCTCCTTAAGAGAAATAGAGGACAGTTTTTCTGTCCTTCAGTGATGGCTTTAAGCTATGAAATATAAACTTAAAGAGAGAAGTGAAAAAAGGAGAAATGAATCATCTATTGTTGCTGATTATCTGGATTGTTCTCTAATTTGACTGTAGAAAATGAATAAATGTATTTTAAAATAGCATAAAAGTATATTCATGTTTGCCAAAATATCTTTGAATACTGGCATAGTGAATAAATACTGTATATTTTGCCTATTAACTTTGATTAGTCCAATTTTTAACCATTTCTGTGCTACCATTTATTGTGTAGTCACGTCAAGTAACAAAGCCACTGAATACATTATAAAATGACATTAGCAGAAAAGCCATACTGTGAATTTTGATGTTTTTTGCATGCAAATCTGAGTCAAAAAATATTATATTCCTTCTTCATGATGCCCTTTTAATTTTCCCCTTGTAGGGGATAAAGCAAAAGTAAGTAATGGTCAATGAGAATGAAGATTTATATAAAGCCAAATAAAGTCTTCAGATGCAAGTTATTATTTTTAATTTTATTTAGCAAGCATACAAGGAAAAAATAACCACAGGAAGTTTACTTAGTAGTTACACATGCATGTTAAACACATTAATAGTATTAGAGTTAAAAAATTTAATTGGGTAATTTCAGATATCAAGTTAACAGATATATTGAGGTAGTTCACAAATGAATGTGACCAATGTTAGGTAGGTCTTTTTTATTAGACAGAGTCTGAAAGCATACATTTAACAAAGATAAATTGGGAAGGGGGCATTTACGTAATAAAGTGTTCTTTACAAAAAGCTATCATTTTCCTTTTAAAATAAATATGAAATAAATCATGTTACAGGGACTTTAATAAAGAGTTTTCTTGCACATAAATGGATTTTTATTTGTAAAAGTACAATTTATACAAAAATTTTGCAGTTTCCAAAATAATTTATGAAACATACAAATCTTAACAGTCATTGCTCAAGAATCTCTATTAGTTATAATAAAGATCATACAAATAAATACACTATAAAGGATCTATAATGCTTTATTTTCTATATTCTAAAATGCCATACATTTTAGGATATTATTTAATAAGTTTTTCAAGGGGAGAAAATCACCATATTAAAAGCATGCACTGATCTAAAGACATGCCAATTTCAGTGACATTAAATTGTGGGAACAAAAAGTACAACTTGGGAAATACAGCATTCATTTTAGCCAATCTCTTCAACCTGGTTCCTAAAAGTAATTTTGTTACCTGTCACCAAGTAAAAATCTGATTAGATGCAAATTTCACCCTGCTTTCTTTATATTGGCCCCATAACTTAATAATTGATAAGCAAAGCCAAGACTCTGTAAGTGGGTAACAGAGGCTAAAGCAGTGGACAAACTAGATTATTAATTCCAATAGAAAAGCTCTAGCATAGAATTCAAGTTTCCTTTCATTATTTTATATTTTTAGCATGGCAAAGTAAAAGTCAAACTAAATGAAAATGATAAGATAGCCACAAAAATAACTTGCTATTTCTCGTCCAGTGATCTTCACATGAGACAGTAGGGCTTACAAAGAGGCTTGCAAATGTCTATCCAGTTTATACATAATAATTTCCAAGTGAAGTTGCTCTATTCAAGGTTGTCACTTCTTCCTCTGCTCTACCATTTCCTTCAGGAAGCATATACACCCTGATCCTCTATAGCATCATGGAAGGCATTTTTTGGGAAGATGAGATTCCTAAATTGTATTTACTTAGAAAAAAATTGGGACAATGAAGAGGATCCAAGTGAATGTTAATAAGCAAAAAGGGATTTAAAGAACATTGTAGATACAGAATTAGTCTAATTTTCATACAATGAATACAAGGTAACATATGTTTTGAAAAAAATAGTACTGAGTGTCAAATAAATGTAAACATTCAGAATGCCTGACACACAGACATGCTTGCTATAAATGTCATTACTAGTGTTTTTAATAACTGAGAATTTAATTATTCATTCTTCACCATTATATCCCTGAACCTACCACAGTAGGGACCCACATATTTATGGAACTTTAAAATGTGTTGAATGAAACTATATTTGAAATAAACTGCAATCCATTATGTTTCATATAATTTGTATTTAATCGTTTTAGAAATATCTGTAATTCTACAACCAAAAATCATTTTCTACTTTATATAACAATTTCACAAAATGGTATGGTCTTTTTAATTGGTTCTACATATCTATTTAATTAGGTGTAACTATAATATCCTAAAACAATTTCTTATTTTATATGATGTATAATATTAAAGACTTTTAGTACGCACGATTATTTTTTTATGCTTTAACTTAGCGATTTTCAACCTTTTTCATCTCTTGGCACACATAAACTAATTACTAAAATTCTGCAGCACCAAAAAATTTTTTGCCAATCTGACAGAAAAAAATAGGTATAATTTTGATCCAGGTACACCAGACAGCTAATGTTGGGTTGGCTGTTGTCATTTTTTTTGACAATCTAAAGGAAAAGAGGTCAGTGCTCCTGACTAAATAGTCAGGTACTGAATGTTTTAAAAATTCTTGCGGCACACCAGTTGAAAATCGCTGCTTTAACTTCAGCATGGGAGTATTCACGTAAACACACATGCTCGCTTATCAACCTACCTGCACAGATTTGCAATTAGTCACAAAAGGAAAAGAAAATTAAGAAATGTTTTAAAATACTGCAACCAAAGTTGAAACCAAGGCAACAAGTGGAATTACATTCTTCCTTACCAATCACATATAGTTTTGTTTTTGAAGCTGCTTTTAGGCAGAATGTCTTAAATTTAGATCAGTTTTAACACTGAAAACTCAAGGAAGAGAAGGCAAATATGAAGCCCATGTGAGCACAGGGACCAGACAGCAGTCACAGAACAGCAAAACACTTCTTACAGTTAACTTTTTAAAAGTTGATTTCCACCAAATTCTTTTCTTTTTGATATGAAACAAAAGAAATTTAATTTCAGAATATTACATGAAACTAAAAGAAAGACAATGCATATGATTATTTCACTCCCTTCTTTCCCTCTTGGTTCAATAAGCCTTAATTCTAAACAGAGCATATTCAAAACTACACTCAATAGGGTAAAGAGTCATGCTTACCACCAAAATGAAAACTGCTCAGACACCACCATACATACCTGTTCCTGAAACTAGTACAGGGATCATGATTTATTTTGCCATGAATTCTCCCTATAATAGCTATCACTCGCTAAGTTCCTTCCAGTTCCCCATTTTTCTCTCATACTTATCATCTTCTATGAGTAAATACTGCTGAACGAATTAATTTCTTGGCATTTGCCCTGCGGGGGCACGGAAAGCTTTCTCTGCCTCACCCACTTGCGCACACAAAGCGCTCCTGGCCTCTTAATCGCCGACTACTTAGCCCTCCGACTTCTGCCATCTCCGCCTGCCCTGCGAGAACTTGCCCTTTCTCAGCTTCTGCTCGTTCATCACCTCCCAAACCACCTTCCCGAGTTTATCCCAAACCGCTGCCTCCTTCTGTACCCTCGGCGTGCGACTCCTCTCATCGGTGACTGTCAGGATCCACAGCCCTCTAAAGAGCGTACTCAGAGTGAAGCGCATCTAGGTAAACTGTGACTTTCAAACAGGCGCTCGGCGCTTAAACCTCCACCCTCTCAAACAAACTAGGTCCCCCACCCGACGCATTCTCTGCTCACAGCCCTCCCTCTCAACCACTCCCCCTACAGCTTTTGCTTTTCCTACCCGATTCCCAACTTTAAGTTCCACCTTTGCTTCCCACCTCCGCCAACAGAACTTCCAGTCATTCACTCCGCTCCCTCGGAATTTCTCCCCAAGCCTCCCCTCTCCGCCCCGCTCCTTCCCGCCCGCCCCGCGCGGCCGCCCGCAGCCCAGGCCTGGGGGGCCCCTCGCGCCTCTGCCCCTCTTTCCCGCGACCTGGGGAGACAGTTGGAGCGCTGGGCCCCGGCCTGTCACCTTCTTCCTCCGCCATCGTTTCCGCGGAGGCCGGGAGTCTCCCGCCCTCCGCGTCGCCGAACCCCTCGGTTACCGAGGGCCCACTCCCCGCCGCCGACGCGCCCCCACTTCCTGACACGCCCCCCTCCGGTGTCTCCGCCAACCACGTCCCCCCGGGCGGCCCGGGAACCAGAGTGCCGGGAGCGGGGAGCGGCGGGTGAGTTACATTGGTGCTCCCGGGCCTGCGCAGGCACGAAGGTGACGAGACGCTCGGGCACGCCCACGGCCGGCGCTCCGGCTGCTTCCCCCACCACCAGGCAGGAGGAGGCTGGTGGCCCTGCGGCAGCTCTTCGCCCTCGCCGTCCTGACCAAAAAGGCGGGAGCTCGCGCGTGCTTTCCGTGACTTTCGTGATTGGACTCAGGGAGGCAGAGAATATTGTCAGGCACACCTTCCAGATCCAGCCCCCGTCTCCACCCCATTTTGCAGAAAGGAAACATGTCCAGTAAGGTGTGAGTCGTTAGGGTGGTCAGAGCTAAAATCGGAACTCAGGACTCTTGTTCTGCATTTTGAGCGCGGCAGAACACTCACTGCGGGTTGGGAGCTTAGGTGTAGCAGGCCGCTTGACCACTGCAAGAAAGGAGCTTGTACTTGGAGCTTAGTGTTTTTAACCACCCGAACTTGTTGATCAAGTGTATTTGCATTTCATGATAGTTTTAAAAACAATAATACTATCGCTTATACAGGGAGCAGGATGCTTTTAGGTATTCCACAGCAATGGAACATTCTTTGAACTTGTTAAACTGTTTATGTCTTCACTTTTATTATATATGACATTCTTATGTACCAGGACCTTCCCCCTAACGGTACTTCGAAGTAAATTTAGGAACTGACAAAATGCCCATTTTAGAGCAAGAGAAAAAAAAGCATAAGAACTCACTGAAGTCATGGGGTAATTCTGGATGTCCCCTTCTTAGCAGGCAGCAAAATTCTCCTAATAGCGCCTTTGTCAAGTTAGGGTATTTGGGGAACAAGCTATCAGTTTTCAGTACTGTAAACCAGTTCCAGGAACTCTTTTTATGCCTTTGGTTGCTTGTAAATATGTCTTGCTGTCAAGCAACATTGGACACGAGTTAGAAATACCATGGAGTAATAGCATAAATAACAATAAAGAAAGAGAGAAAGAAAAACACTGACGGGTACCCATGGACCAGAAAAGACCTGGGTTCAACGCAGATAAAACAATGTACGGACCTTGAAAACTCCAAGATATGACAGGGTCCATTGACGTGAGCAGAACATACCAGAGTGTCCTGCTTATCAGATGAGCTACTGCAAGAGCCCCACCTCAAGGGAGAACAAAAATACAGTGGTCACTGAGGACCCCTGTTTTCCAAGTCAAGTGTCTTGAGGTGATGTCCATTCCTCATATAGTTCCTTCATAATCACTTAAAGGTGACTGATGGACTTAATTATAAATTTGCCTGCTCTATACAGTAGTGGCTGAAGAGGAGAAATAGCTGCTCATGAAAATACGGAAGAGACAATTATTCAGTCTTTAGATAGAAGTCAGTGGAATCATGATTGTATTCCCTGGTAGAAACATTCTTCCTTTGACCTCTAAAACCTCCACACAAGGATAAGAGACTGGATCATTCTATCCCCAACAGAGTACAATTTTGATATGAGAGATATAGGCCACTTTTTATTAAAAATATATACTTCATTAAAAAAATACAGAATCCTAACTGCTCATGATGTTGCCTTGCATTAATCATTATAACTGACATTTCAGTAGATCATTCCATAATTCCATAAAACCAGCTGCTTCCAGATGGTAAGCTTGTAGACACATGGTCCTAAGAAACCTGATGATAACTTGACTACCACTGCAAACCATGGGCTTCTAGTTTCCAATCCAAGTTTGGAAAGGTCATTTTATTACCTTTTGCCACACATTGACCAGTCCTAAACACCTCACATTTCCTCAAATGGTCTTTTATTTACAATCTACTCTGAAAGAACAATATGCTCTCTGCCCCCTTTAGAAGTCTGAGGAGCCCTTCTGGGATATATTCAGTGGATATATTTAGGAAGTGATATGAAATGTTCTTTAAGAAGTTAAGTCTTTAGGAAATGTAGATTAGGAGGCTGTTGTGGTAAACTGGGGAAGTAAAGCTTGGAATAAGGCAGTGGAAATAAAAATGTCCAAGGAGAATGGATTCAAAAAATGCTGGAGGTAAAACTCTACAGGGCCTGATGACAAATTGGATGCAATAAATTGGTTGAAGATGATTCCTAAGGTTTCTATCTTGAAATTAATCATGTACTTTCTCTCTGCCACAATGTATTGCCAGGATATGAGAAGAATATGAAACTAACACTCCAGAGGACTTAAGTACTTAAAACCAAAGAAATATAGGCAAAGGCTGTTTCAAATATATTCGTCTGTCAAAGGCTTCATCTCATCAGTAACACAGTGATAAGTGTGAAATCCTCATATAGTTTGGCTTTTCTTCTATTAAAGATAAGGAATTTTGCTTCATCTTTATTATGTAATAAAATCTCAATTATTCATTAGTTAACAATATCCTTGTATTATTTTTAAATCTCCTTTGTGAAGTCTAAACCAAATGTGCTTTGTCTTTGAAAACTCTCAACACCCTTACTGCCATTATATTTCAGCCTGTATTTTGGTCATGTTTTATCTCCATTCTTTCAACTCTTTGAAAATACATTGTAGGCAAATATTTTGAGAACTGACTTAACTTGTTGATAATAGTAAATATTAGCAGTGGGTGCACCTTAAAAGACCATCATGATAAGTTGTATATTTTGCACTATCCATGAGAACTGTCCTTTGATTTGAGGCTGTTTTGTCTCAGTTTGTCACTAGTTCTAACTATGACTATGGGTTGATGGGGTTTCCCCCCTATTCCTTTTCTGTAAAAGGGTGGATAAAGGGTATATTGTCAGTTTCTCCCACCAATCAGGCCTCACTTTTTCCTCATTATTTGAGGCCGTGTTTCAGTGCCTCCTGAATACATTTGCCCTATTATCACACATCATAAGAGTCTGCTGTCTTCCTTTTCCACTGACTGGGAGAGCTACAATTATAGAAACCAAGAGAATCAAACTGGGACTATATTATCTTCCCTAGTGGGTTACATTAAACTGTGCATTCTATTTAAATATTTTTCAGTTGGTCATATTAGACATCTTATGACTTTTTTTTTCAACCATCAATGCCATTTTATTTAGGAAGTTTCTATGTATCACATAGGTATTAATGTCCTTTCTCTCATCATCCCCCTAAAGAAGTCAGAATGACTTTTTTAAAACTGAACATATAAAATCTCTTAGTTTCTCTAAAGTTTTAGGTTTTAAAAAAAATGTAAGTGGTACTTTTTCTTTATGAGAATATTGCTTTTTAAGAGAATTCAGTCTGTTTCTTATGCTCACTACAGATTTCTACTCCTTCCTAGGGGGGAAAATAGTCAGTGCTTCTGCTTCCTTTGAATATATTCATTTCTTGATTAGTATACACTATCATTCCCCACTTGACACCTTTTTAGAAACTTGGTTGTTGGATGCATTTTTTCATTTGGCCAAAAAAAAAAGAAAAGAAAGAAAGAAAGAAAAAAAAAAAGAGGCTTTGCATGGAATGTCTGAAGTGTCAGAAACAGCGGTGTTGGATGTTCTGGTTTTGATTAGGAAAATAGAGAGATGCAGACATTCCCAGAAAGAACAAATGCAGAAGACTGAAATAGGGTGTGCACAGAGTTCAGAAGGCAAATAGATGCTACCTGATTTTGGATTCTGTGGCCATCAGCCACCAAAAACTGCAATGTACTGAATATAAGTCTCCGTAAAAAGTTTTGGTGGGCACTGCAAAATGATGGAGGTAGCTTCATCTTGTTCCAAGTGTATCAGATCACATAAGAAGGAGCAGTGTAGGTCATCTGCTGTGTGCAGTAACCTGCGTATGAGCATGCACGGGCATTTCTGCAAGTGCTCTGCCCACGTAGGCTCCTGGAGAAAAGCAGCGTCTTATTAAAACAGACCTCCAACTCTAACTCATGAAAGACCCTAGACTTCCTCAGCTCCATGATTTGCAAGGCTGAAATGAAGTTTAGAGTTATGTGTCATTCTAGGTCACCTAGAAGCTGGTTCGCTGGGCCATTTCAGGAAACCTGGTGTGCCCAAGAGAAAAAGATGACTACCCAGAAGGCTATGCCTTGATGATCTTCACATTCTGCACAGGGCAGTCCTGGGAGATTGTTTCCACCATTCCTATACTCAGACACACAAGGCCAAAATGGTATGTTTGCCATCAGGCCATTAGGTGGGAGCCTGGGTCACAAAGAACTGGCTGCCATTGGTGTCTGGCCTTGCATTGGCCATTGCAAGAATTCCAGCCCCTGTGAAGTTCATCCGCAAACTGCTTGCGAAAGGTAAATGCACCACTTCACCTGTCCCTGTTGGGTCTCCTTCCTGGATCATGAAGTCTTTGATGATTTTGTGGAATTTGGTGCCATTGTAGTAACCTCCATGAGCTAACACAACAAGGTTCTCACAGGTCTTTGGAGCATGCCTCCAGTACAGCCCCAGCACTATGGCTCCATGCTGGTCTCCAAGTATACGTTGGGCAGGAGGTGGAGGTGGGGGGTTGGAGGGTAAGGCAGGCGAAGAGTGAGGTGTGGGTAGGGGATTGCCACTGCCATAGGAGAACTGGTGGAATCTTTCTCCAGCAGGACATTTTCTTAAGTAGAATTTTTCTAGAGTTAAAACTCCTCTAGAAAAATATTTTTGACCAAACTGCTCATATGAAAAAATACTCATAAATAAAGCAAAACATTATTGGTACTAAGTGGCCTATAATTGAGATTTCCCCAGGCAAAGATTCTATTTTAGTAGACAGTTTACTGATTTTGTACCAAGTCCTTTCTCTCTTCTTCCTGAGAGTAAGCCCTCTAAATGTCTGTGAAATTGAGTTGAGTTGAATTGAATTATATTAGAGTTGCCAGATAAAACATAAGACACTTTGCTATAATATGTCCCGTGCAATATTTGAGCCATATTTATACTAAAAATTATTTATTTATCTGAAATTCCCACTTGAGTATCCTG